CCCCTCTAGATATCAAGCAAAAATTTGGTTTTTAGAAATTTTTGTCCATTTTTAGCAACATACTCTGTCTACTTTTCCAACTTTTAGTCCATTAATTGCGAATATTCGAAATGCTTTTTCCAAGCAAGTGCAGTCAAAAATTTCCTCGGTCAAGCTGATTCCAGGTGTTTCTTTCCGGATTACAACCTGAGTGATAATTGACGTGGTCGTTGTTGCGTCATAGTTGCGCTTGTAATAATCGAATCAGCTGAATCGGCACCGATATGAAACTTAGTAGCATCTTTACATTTTCTCGTGTTTAGTTTTTGTTAAGTAAACCATACTTTTTGTTTCCGGTTTCTGTCCTACTAACGTTATTATTGTTAAAGGATAAAAGCACTTGGAGTTGATCAATTCCTGAGGATGCGCCATTTATTCGACTTCATTAAGCATCGTTAAAGGTGACTGAATGCATACCTAGCCTTTACATTCACTTGCAGTGGCCTACCGATGTATTGAGTTAGTGTTTCCATCCTTTCAGACAAGCCTGGTATCAATTTTCCGACCTCGGAGAGATGGAAGGCTTGGTGAGCCATGGGCACAGGGATAGATCCCATGTTTCTATCACAGGGCGTCTCCGACCACTGCTCCACACGCCCCCTTATTATTATTGCTAAAATTAATATTGAAAAATCGAACAGTACAAGGTCCGGACAGGATAAGGCCAGAACACCTAAAGAACTTTGCGCCAGTCCACGTAAACACACTGGCTAGGCTCTTCACACGTTACCTGTCTGAATGCAAGGTCCCTACTCAGTAGAAGACCAGCAAGATCGTGTTATTGCTCAAGAAGGGTGACCTACACTATATGGCAATAATCGCCCAATCTGCTTACTGTCTGTCGTCTAAAAACTTTTCACACGAGTCATCCTAAACAGGATTGACAGAACACAAGACGGAGGACGGCCATGTGGACAAGCAGGGTTTCGAAGAGGATTTAGTACGATGGACCACATCCACACGGTAACACGGCTCACTGAAGTATCGCGAGAGTGCAAAAAACCGCTCTGTCCCACTTTCATCGATTTATAGAACTTTTGATTTATAGAACTATAGGCTTTTGATTCAGTTGAGATAGAAGCATTCTTGGAAGCCCCTGATAGTCAAGGGGTCCCTACTCAGTACATAAAGGTTCTTCGTGAGCTATGCAAAAAATTTCGCAACCAAAATATCGCCATTCTACAACGATATCAATATTGACGTCAAAAGAGGTGTTAGGCGAGACGATACCATCTGGCCAAAATTATTTACCACCACTTTCCAGAACGTCATGCGATCATTGAAATGGGATAATATGGGAGTGAAAATCGGCGGTCGACAGTTACACCATCGTCGCTTTGCTGATGACATCGTCCTTATAACACCAAACATTAGTCAAGCGGAACGTATGTTTGACGACTTTGATAAAGCCTGTGGAAAGATTGGTCTTCGACAAGAACTCACAAAAACGTTGTTCATGAAGAACGGATTGGTTTCGCATACCCCATTCACGCTCAACGGAACGAATAGCTCCAAATGCTCCAGTCATGACTATCTAGGTCGGGAAATCACTATGATGAACGACTTAGCTCCAGAGCTGAGCAGAAGGAAACGAGCGATCACTCAGCGTTATCGAAAGCACAGTCGAAAGGACGATACTAGGAGTATCCCGTTTCACACAAGTAAGGAATGGGATCCGAGACTCCGACCTGCGTCAAGGACTAAAAATCAAAGATGCCGTTCTGTACGCCAAACGGTCGAAGATAAGGTGGGCCGGACACGTGATGCGTATGAGTGACAACCGATGGACAAGAGCCTTTAGTGACTGGATTCCTCGGGATGTCAAACGTACTACAGGAAGACAACCGACCAGACGGTCAGAGTTCTTCACGAAGAGCCTTGAAGAAAGATATGATGCTCGATGAATCCCTAAAGCGAGCAGAACCTACTGGGCTACTCTTGCACGCGACAGGGAAAACTAGCGCCCGCTCGAGTGACTCAAAGATCAACGGGACTATAGGTGATAGAGGTGATAATTAATATTATTATTAGTTGGTATGACAAAATGACGGCACTCGCAAAAGAAAGTCAGTAATTGAAAAAATTTTGTGGTAACTTGAAAAACTCTGAAATCACAGTAAATGTGCAGTATATCTCTCAACTGCAACACATTACAAGAATTTCTACTCTACAAAAAATTTTTAAAAACGTTACTCAGAAGTTGGCATTGCTTTTATGGAACGAAAATAACTGGGTAGAAAAGATATAAAGGCTACAACCAGTCTTTGTGAACTGCGCAGTAGCTTCTCAAGCAGAAATTTTCCGCTTTCCAACAGTGTTATCTCCAACCTCGATCAACGTCAAATAAGAAGGCTCCGTCAAGATGTGCTGTTACCTGGCACAAATTACTCAACATCACTGTCAAGAACGTCATAGAGGAATCGTAGAGGGAACGAAATAACAGAGGCTATTAGCCATAGCTTTTTCTGTGCGCTAATACCGGTATAATTAGGAATGCTCAAAAAGTCCGATGGCGTGCATGGGCTTCCATTGAGCAGAAGAGTCACGGTGTTCGTAAAACATCGAAAGAGCGTCGGAAAAGTGATAAAAGAAACTGCAAATGCATGGTCCTACATCCATTTCTACAATGCCACCGTTATTACTGATTATACTTTTGCCAGCTATTTTCGGCATTATTTGCAATCTTACTAATGTTCGACTGTCAGCAGGACACCGGTTATGTTCGCACTTATCACCCAGTGGATTAAAGCTGCTCAATGTTCCTCAGACATCGCAAATCACGAAAACTGGAGCACTTTCATACAAGATGACTGTTTTTGATGTTTTGGTAATGAGGATGCAACTCATCTGGGTCTCCCAAAAAAGATAGAGAAGCCGTTAGTTGGCAGCTATGTCTATCCCTTTCCCATTTACAGTATTGTTCACGCACTATTTTTGCAAAATTTTAGCACAACTGAAATGAGGAAGGCGAACCGCATATGTGAAAACACATTCATCTACATCTTCTGGATTGTTATGCTACATTCTTCAGTCTTTTAAGCAGATATAATTATCTACAAGGAAGACGTAAGCCAGTCAAGACAACAGAGAGAGGAATGTATTCCGTGACTCTGCTATGTGCAGGTCGCTTCTCACCTTCGTTTAAGTCTTATTCCGTCACACGAACATAATTGAAACATTCATGCCAAGGTACTGGAAGAATAACGTGATGCTCTTTAAGTTTCTCGAAGATGCAGAATGTACTAGGTAATTCTAGCAATCTACAAGACCAAACTGGTGATCTGCCGATATTAGTTCGAGTGGCTTGATATTCAACGAAGGAATGCCTTCGGAGCGATTGATTTTTGTTTCTATTGCCAAATATAACCTAATTTTCGTATGAATCACTTTGATTTTAGTAATCTTGGTTGAAAATCCTCTAAACCTGTTACAGCGTAAGTAGTCAGTATAGTAGAGAATAAACAGAACGTTTTCTATGCCTTTTCCATAGCAGGTGATCCGGAAATCCACTTCGCTGGGATAATGTATTGAGCTCTTGAAGTGCGCAGTAGTAATTCACAGCTATACAGCTGAGTGGTACTTGAGTCTGGCTCGGCGCTAACTCCACCATTTCGCAGCTTTTATCCTCTCGACCTCTATTCGAAGTCATCTCACCTCAATACACGGTTGCTAATCGCGCTGTCAATGGCACTTCTGCCGCAATATAGAACAAAAATAGAAGGGCTTTGGCTGTGTTTGAGATTGGGAGGTGCTCAAGGTATTAAATGTGGGCTGGTCTTCGTTCTTAGTGTTACCCAACCGACTTCAGCAATTTTTTGTAACAAAATGAATAGAATTGTAAGCGAAATAAGCACATAGAATGCTTAACAAGTAAACTTGGTGTAAGTTAAATAAATGATTGGAACAAAACGTGGAAAATGTAATTATGAATAAGCGGAAGGAGGTAAGAGTGGCTTCTACAGTTTGTGCAAGCTTTTATAAAACCTCATAAGTGTGGCAATTTCGTCTTCGCTAAGATAACATCATTTTAAAAGGCTCTATTAACACTAATTTTCCAAGTTAGGTTTAAGTGAGGTCTTCCATAACCTGACAAAGTATCATTCAGGCCTCTCCATGTCTGTTGTCTATGATACGATTCTCTGTGGGTCGACAGAATCCTGTATTCGTTTTAGGCGGATAAAATTGACAGAGCACTTGTTTGCGATTGACCGACAACTTTAATTTAATGATCTGGGAGTTTATTGGTTTCGACGTGTCGGCTGATTAATTGCACAATTCGCTTACACCACGAGTCACTGTCGTCTTAGAAGAACCAGAGTTATGACGTAGCAAACTCCTCAATACCCGAATACCGGGAAGTGTATGTGCTAGCTACCTGAAAATCTCCTAACAAGACAATCTTGGATTCCTAGAGAAAATCTTATTTTAAAAACCTCCGAAATGTTAGATGTTGTCTAGTGGAGGCACTTACAAGGAGAGGCCACCCGATTTGGTCTAGAGAAACATACCTTTTATGAAGGTGTTCACGTTGTATCGGAAGTTTTCACTTTCTGTAAAAAGCTAGGGCATCTAATTGAAGCCAGTTTTAATATGTCTGTCAATTCGAAGCTTAGCTTTTACCGTTATTTTCCTTACTATTGAAATTTTATGCCAGTTTACACTTTTTTATTAAGTAATCCGTTGAATAGAGTGAATTTTACATTACTGCTACTCCACATGTCTAAACAAAAAATGATTGAGTCGAAGAGAACTCGACATTCAAAAACTGAAAAACAGTGCTATTAAAAAGTTTTCTAAACATCCAAAGCGTTTTTAGCAAAAGTCTAATATTTTGAAACTGCTAGCCCTTCAGATTTCCCTCCCACCCTTTCCGGTGTTTTCGTGAATCTCCAGAGGCTTTTCATGAAGTGGTGATCAAGCCGAACAGCCTACGTGACCTCATTGGCGGTTCCGTTTTTGTAATGGATGATCCTAATCCGATACGAAACCTTTTCATTAGCGGCGTAACGCAAACACCTGCTGACGTAATCGACGCAATACGGTCAGCACCAGCTCATCCGGCTCCGAGTGTACCCTCTCACTCACGTCACCTGCTCACCTACCGTAGTCGACAGCGCCAATCCACTTCCGTCCGTGAACTTCTTTGCGTTCTTTCACCTATTTTCGTCCTTATTTTAGCAGAAAAAACAACCAACTCATCATTCGTTATTACCATTCTAACACATAACCCGACATCCCAGCACTTCCTGTATTCGATTAGCTACCTCACCATCCACGAAGGTCTTCGACTTTTCTTTTGCACTTGGGTTTGGCCGCTACTCAACGATTTTTGCCCTCTTTATGAATGTCGTCAAATAGTAGTCGGTGTGATAGTGAAATGCCAAATCTTGTGATAGCTGGTCCCAAAAAAATGAACTTGTCCAAATCTGGCAAAAATTCCGCGACTCACAGAGATGAGAGGCTTGGTGGATCCGGAGAGGAGTCGGGGAAGCTCATATGAATGAAAGTAAAACAAAGCATTTAAGAAGTGTCAATTAAATTGTGCAAATATCCGATACTGTGGCAACGAACATGATGTACATAATTTGGAAATCCACAAGAAAGCCAATGCGCTTCTTTTGCCCTGTCAATCCAAGTAATTCAATCACTCAAGGATGTGCTCAGTAGCTGGACTAGCTATGAAAATAGGCTGAATTGACCGATTATTTGAAGATTGAAGCCATACAAGAAACAGAGCAAAAACCTAGAATTAATCTCTTTAAGTATAACTAGTAGTTTTATTAGGAAATTGATACGAAACTAATCTGTGTCAGAAGAAGACGAGGTAGTAGAAGAAGCAAATAGCGTTTTTAACAGAGCGGCTTTCGGCTTTGCTTTAGGTACGGGTGACATCCTGACGGCGGCCATAAATCCCTTCTGTAAATCCACTGCCGCACTGTATGCTCGAATACTCTGCGACAGTGTGAATCTAATTAATCGCATTCATCAAATGCAAATTGATCGGCCTCTTTGACGCCTCGGTTACTGCCTCTATTATTCTTTGCTTTACACACACAAACGGATTCTAAGAAGACGTCAAGGACTCGCCGAACATGTGCCATATGTTACCGACAGTCGGTAATAACCTCTAGATATTTTAAGAAGTAAAAGTAAATCAAAAAATAACACGAGACAAACGAAGGACCCGCATGGTGCGATGGTGAAGGCGTTAGCTCTCGGAAAGGACAATAGCGCGTTCGTTCCCCACCGTAGACACCTGCGGTCCACAATTTAGCAGATATCTCAACATCATTGTGGTCTTAACGCGAAAGAGTCAAAAAGATGATCTTACATAAAAAGTTATTTTGGTCCATTCATAATCTCGCACAACGTTCCTGGCATTTTTTATTGAAGCTAATGTTTTCGCGCAATCATCTACTTCAGATCCGTAGCGATATGAGCGCAATGTGGGTCTTCGTAGCCACATCGAGGTGAATCACTTGTGGTGGAGCAGCATAAGAATGTGGCCTTGTCTAGTGGTGACCTTTTAGACTAGACGGTTTTTGTCAATTGCATGTTTAATGAATTGTTTTCGAGGTAGCAACGCATCCTTTAGAAATCGGATTATTTTTGGTTGGAGGAAAAAAAATTTTTTCTTAAAATTTGGGGAATCGTGCAACTGACTCTATTCCTAGGATAGTAGAGCTGGTAACACGTACGTTTCTCCTATACAATGACTTGCTGAAGCATGTACCATTCAATACTTTTGTTCACCCAGAAAACTCTTGTATCACTTTATTGACCCCGAGTGTATAGAAGGCAGGATTCGTCTTAAGTGTGAGGTCGAACCAATAACCATGTATGTATTGCGGAGAACTTGTACTTCTCGCTTTATGCGCTTCCAACCATGTCCTATGACACTGTGTTTCATCAAAAATATAAGCACAGCCAAGTCGATATGTCACTTAGGACTTGCGCTTGTGAGCACTTCACTTCTTATCAGTTTTTTAAGTTTATCTGGATTGTTTCTGCTGATCGTGGTCCTGTTTTACTGAGCTTAACAGGGCTAAAGCATTCAGATGTACTTAGGCCAAAGCTAAAACAATTTCGTCATAACCTTTCTTATCAGCCTATGTCTGAATGAAACGTGGTCCTGTAGAACACTGAGGTAACATCCCAGAAAGTTTAAAAATTCATACAGATTTCTATTAGCTACCAAATAAAAACTAACTATATTATTTTTTACGATAATTACCAAGTGATAAGTAGTTGTTGGCTTCTTTATTAGGATTGAGAAAAAGCTGTTTTGCTCAAATATTCATTCTGCTTACATCACGGGTTTCCATCAATAACATATCGTATACTACAGCGTGATACAGTTGATAAAAAAGACAGAAAATGATGAGGAAAGAAGTAGGCAGTAATAAATAATATGCTAGAAATTTCTCGCACTTGGGTACGGTAGTATAATGAGCGTGGTAGAGGGCGGGGCTAAGCGCGCCTATAAAGCCACGGCTGGCCACCGTCGTTTCAGATCGCCAATGACATGACTGCTGTATTTTTCAGTTTTCCACTGTTTCTAATCATCGTAGACCTTTAAAGCAACTTTCTGAGTCTTTAACTATTCTAATTTATTTATTACTACTTTATTCACTTCTAATGGTTATTATGTTTTTGTGCAATAAAATAATCAGCATGTGAATTTTTGAAGCGTTGATTTCTTCCTCAGTGAAGAAAACAATTCAGAAGTGGTTTCGTCGGCTCAGATATGTCATCGATAGACGAGAGTGTTAAGAAGAAGATTCGTCGCCTGAAGGCGAACGGAAGAGAACGTCAACGTATGCACGGTCTTAACGATGCACTGGATGTGTTGCGACAGGTTGTACTGTGTAAAATTTTATTGCGCAATATCTCTTTTATTTCCGAAACTTTTTGTTACATACACTGATGGCTCAATGGAGTCTTTTCTAAGACAATACGTCATTAAATGACCGTTTTTTTCCAAAAATTCATTTCAGTACGTACCTATCACAGTCCAACATCAAAAGCTGAGTAAGATCGAAACACTTCGATTGGCCAGGTATGGTCTTTCGTGAGATTTATCTCAATTTTTACTTGTATAAAAAGCCAAGAAGCCAGCGAAATAGTGCAAAACATAGACCTATTGGCAACCGTGTCCAAGGGTTAATATGAGAGAAATATTCATCACAGCCCTTGAAAAATTTTGGAGAAACATTCAAAAAACGAGAGCACCAAACATGTTTTCAAAGTCATGACTTTAAAAACATGAAAGGACCTGGATTCCAAAGTCCGAATTTACAAAAATCCCAAAACAACTTTCTTAAATTCCAAATTTTTTTTAAACGATACGCCAGTTTGCGCGTTAATTAATCGAAGGCATTATATTATCGAAACTATTAACAAATTATGGCAGTCAGTAAGGTTCTCGCTCATGACGTTACTACCACTTATATTGTCTTTTTCTTGTTTATTTTGCTAAAATGCTTATATTGCTTATCCCTACATGTCGTTCTGAGCCCAGAACACTTTTTACACACGTTTCATTTCGTTCAACACCCTTCGATAGTGGTGATCGCGCTAACGTAGAGGTTTAGCTGCAGTTTGATGATCCAACATCTTCTGGCCTCGCGGGCATGGTAAATGTTGCCCGCACTGGTAAAGCTTTCCATGAATTTCCACGAAAGCCGCGCTAGAAGGTTACCAGATGTTCAGTACAGGCACTTGCCAGAATTAGTGAATAGAATGAAAGGTAACTCCTGCGACTATTATTCTTCCAGACTGCAATGAATCCTGCTGTGACTAGTCGATTGACAGCTCGAAAGCAATTTAGTGAAGTTAATTAAAAAAGAGTACTAATGAAAAGTAGTACGATATTTAGCTTAACTGGGTTCAGTACAGATTAGTGCTCCCAGATCAATCCTATTGACTGGTGATTGCTGATGGCAGTGATCGATAGCACTAGCTGAGAGACAGGCGAAACGAAGGACCCGCATGGTGTGGTGTTAGACTCCGGAAAGAGTAATAGCGTACTCAGTCTCCGCCGAAGACACCTGCGGTCCGGAGTTTTGCAAATATCTCAGCACCATTGAAATTATATCTCTTACCAGTCTTTATATCACCTCATTTACCCGTTCAATTTCATTCTTTTTCGTCAGAGATTTTTAAATTATTATTCACATTTTATCGTCATGAATTTGAGGAACTACATCTTGGCTTTGCAACGGATTCTCTACACTGGACGTCCACCCACTCCACTCGAGTACGCCTATCAGTTGTCGATTGGCCTCAGTCAGACGACGACCAACATGCTGGCGAATCTGCTTCAGGTACGTGACGATCTTGTTTCTTATTTGTTTTTAAAATATTTTAGTTTTTCATTACGGCAATAATATTTGCGTGCAGAACAAATCTGCTCTAAAATCACTCCAGGGAAAATCAATAAATCGAATGACTAGTAAAATAGAGCACCATTTGAAAGTCCTTGACCTTCTAGTGCAGTCCTCTCTACCGTGAGAAAAGACGAAATTTGTAGTTAATTGGATGAAAAATGTTTAAGTTACCGTGGAAGTCTTCAAAGCCGCTTACTATAGAGGAGGGAATTGAACCGTTCGGTTTCATAGTAAAGCTAAAGTTGACCGTATTTTATAATTTATTAGCTTTGTTCTCCCTAAGGTTAATAGTAAAGTAGAAAAAGACACTTGAATAGGTATTGAGCAAACGATCGATCGACCAGAAGATCGACGCTCGGCTTTACACGGCTTCGAAAATCACCTCAGCTTAAATTGATCAAGATCAGTTAGCTCCTTCACTAAATTTTCAATTTGGTTCGGTTAACTAAGAAAACCTTAATCCTATAAAGAGAAAAAAAAGAGAAACTGGTGATTTTAGGTGAATCCACGCCTTCTTCTCGGTAGCTCGTCTGCTCCACCATGCATTGAAATGGATGCACACTACCAGCCACCTTCAACTTCATCTACTCCACAGATGTCGTACAGTGTCAACAATCACCACCTAATGTATCGATTATAACCAATACTTTTTAATATTTATGGCCAATTTCTGATTAAGTACGTCATCACCTCAGAATTCTCACGGGTATTTTATGATTATCGAATTTCTCATTTGTAAATAACATGGGCATAATATGTGAATTGTGCTCAGCAATAACTTTTAAAAAAAGCTTTAAAAAACTTTCTAACTGAACTTTATCTTCGAAAAAAATAGTACGGCCATTAAAAAATGCTTACCGATGAACACTCAGATTTTTCGGCAACTTCACGATTTTCTGTCCAAGGACGATCAATTCTACTTTCTATTTATATCTCTTTATGTCTACTATTTTATTGTGGTGGGTAGAACATGAGAACGGTAAGCGTGATCGCGGCTTCGAGGCTCATCTTAGCTATCGAGTTTTGCTTGTATCACTGCATCATTGTGGTTATACCTCTTCATTTCTTTCTTTTTACCACGATGGGCGTACGTAGCAAGGTAGTTCGAACCGACACCTTCGAGTCGACCAAGTTCTTCACTCCTTTACCGTCAGCAGGTCAGTATCACTTTTGTCTGCGAGCGCAGTAGGGCATTGATTTGATGGATAAGTGCTGAGCTGCCACAAGTTACTCTATAGGCCAAATATTCACTTCATCACCTTGTAACAAGATGGATGATTAAACGATAGAACCACAAAATCACAGATTAACAATTGAATGGAAATCAGGAGTAAAACTAACCACTGAAACATGAACTGTTGATGGAAGAGAGAAAACGCCATAAGAAACGGCTTAATCAAATCGCCATGCCTGGACATTTCGATGACACGCTCAACGAATTCATCGAGCTTGACGAAAGCTACCTGATTCTGAAGCATTTTAGCGCATTTTGAGCTGAACGAAAGGGAGCCGATAGCCTTCGTAAAACTCTCAACAGTCCAATGTACTTGGGAAAAGAGCTAATTTCCGAAAAAGGAAAAAACAGCAAAAATGACTCAATAAATCATATGCCGTGCTTCTGAAATGAAAATACGCGAAACTAAAAACTTTGACTTATAATGATTAAGGATATTAGGCTTTATACTTCAGTGCTGAAAGCGTGTAGCGCAGTGGTTAGAGGTAGAAGTGCTCTGCAAGACAACACACATAGGTTCAATAGCGCGCCCAGAATCATCAATCCTCCTATTCCTCCGGGTTCGGCAGATTGATTCTAGGCCTATTTGGAAAAACAGCAGCACTGACTCGTTACATTTGTAGGCAATCGCATGTCATCCAAAAGGTCAGAGATGCGTAAGACCTCACCTCTAACAATGCTTGATGAAGTCCAATGCATAGCGTACCTCTCAGGTGTTCAACAGCACTGAGAGCTTTGTCCTTTATCCGTTATTTTGGCATTGGAGATACTTTAGTCACTTAGTTGATTCATCCTCATATGTTCACACGTCGTATGGCTCTCAAGACATATTTCAGTCGTCTTCCCGCTTCCTCGTTTACTTTCTTCGATAACCACCGACTATTCTGCACGAACCCGTTCGGTGTTTTCGCTTTCGCTAAACCTCCTGCTGAGGAGAATCGTCGTCGGTTATGCTTGCGTTTTAATCAAACCTTTAATTAGCGGCGGGAGCGAGTCGCTTTAACACCTCAACTGTAGTGGTCCACACGCCTTGGCGTTTGCTGTTCGTTAATCGCTCCACCTCATCCACTCCATTACTATTTCCCATTATTGATTAAATGCACTTTTTGTTAGAACGACTTATAGCAGCTTGTCGTCTTGTAATGCTATTGTTTTACACAAAATACCTCGTTCTCAATAACGTGAGACACATTTCATTGCGAGTACTAGTAATAAAAGAGTAATACGACCGTCTTTAATCCGTTCCTTAAAATATCGTATGAACTTGATCCCATTCGTATAGGTTATTGGATATATATTGGGCCTATACAAAAGTTGCGGTGACCTACAGTTATATCAAGTCACTACTACGATCTTCCGAGATAGGGATGGGACCTATTTGCCGACCCCAAATTAATGCAAAGCTTGGTGAGCGCGGGATGGGGGATCGAACAAACAAGCGTGTACAGCAAAACACTTCTAACCACTGCACTACATTCTCGCTTACTAATGGTATTTTCCATGATACAATTCTCATAAAAATAGACACCGTAATGCTTATTTGATTCGGACGGTGTCGTTTTCTACTGTTGGGTTAATGACGCTTAGCGTTCATTCGAATAGAGATTTGGCTAATTGAAAATTGTGTGTCATTTTTCATGTAATCTGCTTTGTCTGTTGCGGAACTGATCAAATAGAAATACAATAAGCAGTAAAGTGGTTGCACTTAGTACTGCTACTCGATCGCATTTCCTTGATCTCATGAAAACAAAGGAATTCTTGATATTATTGCAAACGGAGAAAGGGGTTGTCGGAAGTGCACCATCATCGACTCAGCAATTACCATAACTAGGAGCTATTCCTCAATGGGAAATGTGCGATAATTCACAGCACGGGATTCATCTCCCAGTCTGCTCGCTCAAGCTGATAACGACTTTAACATCCGGAGGATAAGATGGCATGTCTACGTTTTGGCACAGTTCAGTAGAAAAATCTCTGCTGAAACTCACAACATCTATAAAGAAGAATCCTCCAAGCATATAAGGATGCTGAGCTGTTGAGTAATATAAGTTCCATAAAAGGTACCAGATTAGAAATATACGGCATCTCTGTAAGTTTTAATCGAATGATTAGAGAGTAATTTGCTGCGGGATGAAATCGGACGTGAATATCTTAACTAAAACCTTTGCCCGTAATAATACAGATCAAATTTAATGTTATAAAAGGAGGAAAAGCGTAATGGAAGAGGTATTAGGGGTTAACCAATCCCTAGAAGATGTGCTTTGCATTCACCTCTACTCGTTGCATCGCAGAAATTATTGAACGAACATCAATCGGTAGACAAAGACTTGAATGAGTTGTAGTTACTCAGGATTTCGTTTTTTCTGAGACAAATCTAGCGACGCTTTTCTGACTCTTCGAAAGGATGGAGGTCGCGATTTTCTAGGAGCGTGGGATCAAGCCAGCAACCTTGATGTGCTGCAGGCCATCTCGAACCACTGCGCAAAGCGCGCTTCAATAAACAGATGAGTGGTGGTAGATATTTGCATATATGGGAGGATTTGAATTAATAAACAATGAATTAAACATTGCTACGAGTCGCTGTAGCTATTAAAAGTCATTATCCTACGTCTTTAGAGTCATGAATTACGGTGTACGGATGCTGACCATCTGTCAGCTGGTAACGATAGTATTAAGATTAACCGTTCAATATTGCTGCTCGCTCAACTGGCTCTATTGACCTCAAATGTCCACCACCTACGTCAATATCGTATTGTTCCCATTTAACACCTAAAACTAGGGGCTATCTTCTTTGAATTGGCTTTCTCATTCCATTCAAAATTCCTTAACTTTTAACTGGATCGTTGTCGTCGTAGGACTATTTTTAGAGCAGAATTTACAGGCGATAGGATTTTAAAGGACGATGCGAAGATTGTTTGATTACCGTATAAAACTTTTATCCACTGATTGCCTTTATTCTTTCATCAATTGCAATTACCGAAACCAACGCAAGTGAACGTAAATTGTGTGAGAATGTTAAGCGTGGGAACCATGCATGACCATCCACCGCCACCTGTTCGTAATTCACAAGGTGGGAAGTGAAGCGTTGTTGAAGAAAATCAGGGTGGAAAGAAAACCATAGACGGTCGTTGACTCGTAAATTGACTGACTGAAAACGTAGGAATATTGGAAGTTTATAGATAGGTCATATTTGCCTTTGTAGTAACATCCTTGTGCTTAGCATTTGTCATGCTTAACAAATGCTGGCCGATTTTAGCAGCGTCTGAGTAATGATTGCTTTACGACTAAGACTAGAGAATACGAAATTTGCGGGAAAAAGTGTCGTTACTGATTTCTCATTCATGTCTGACGAAAAGATTGCCTACAAGTGCTCCAGCTACATATGTTTGGAGACCTATGGAGTCATTATGATGAAAAACTTAGTTCCAGAATAAAGTAGAAAGAAAAGAGCCGTCAGGAAAGTTAACAACAGCATTGAGATCGCAGTGAAGAAAGCATGATACACCTAGATCTATTCCCAAGTCTTCGACTGAGGGACTCTTTCCCCTAGGAAAGATAGATGAACATAACGACAATGAGCGTACTGCTGAGATGAGAACGTTGAAGATATCCTGAATAGTGTAACAAATGAGGAAAGGAATCCTGACTTGTTTCAATGATCAAAGCTCAGGTGCGCTACTACATGTCAACATATCAAAAATCATGTTGGCTGCACATGTGCGACCCTTTGGATAAATCATAACGGGCAACAGTGAGGAATAAAACTTTCATTCAGCTCGCTCAAATTGCCGTTCAGTTGAAAAAAAAAACCAGCTCAACTCACCTAATTACAAAGCGATACCTTCGTCTGATGATCTTGAAATCGAACTATTGGACGAGCTTTTAATAAAGCATGTTTCTACTCTTCTTTGTTGCCTATTCACTATTGTCCAATAGGTTCCACCTGCTTTTCTTACCGAAAATCACCGCGATTTGAACGTCGGCCAATCCAACAACGAATAATGTTCTCCTCAGGTATGGCTATGTATCTCTCCATATGACGACTATGTGAAGACCAACGTCCGACACAACTTATTCGCTATTGAAACATAAAGCTGTCAGCACATAGGGAACGGCGCCTCGCACATAACGATCTCTACTATTCAGCAAGTTTTGTCTAATTGATAAGTTAATATGAAAGTGATTTTAAAAAAAGTTTCTTCAGCTATCGTTTCGACGCATTCGTCGTCTTCAGACTCTTTCATCCGACTCAGTGGTTCAGTTGTTCGTCCCCGAGATGTCATGTCTTCGTCGTCATATTGAGTCGAATCTGAACGAGTGAACCACCGCTTGAATGAAGTAGTTTTAGCGAGCAGCGTTGCTTCATAAAAGACTGTTGTTGGTAACTATTATCCGTTGGCAATCAGCTCGTCTTTCTTCTGAGAATCCATCCTACAGCAGTTGATGTTGGAGTTAGTATCGGCAGTTGGCATCAGCTAGCAAATAGCGTGGTAATGAGACAACGAGACGTTAGCCTAACGCACTTTTTACCGACCTCGTCTTAGCTTTAAAACGAAGGAATGCATACTCACTAGTCATATTTAATCAAAGCAAAGTCGGTTTCTGAAATATTTGTCCTAATTTACAACCTATGGGCCTAACCATTTGGAATAAAATAAAATCGCACTTGAGATGTGCACCCACACAAAGACGCGTATATTCGAACTTACATATATACACACGGTTTACCGCATCATCGAAACTGGAAGGTGTTTCTGGGTGTCGTGCCGCCATGTGCCGAATTCACCCCCCACCTTGCAGCAGGGCCTCCCAAGCTGAGAAGTCTAGCGTTTCCACCAGGAAACCCACCTAAGGGTAAACCAATAACAGGATTCACCACCGTCCTGGTGTCAGACGCATGGTGGCAAATCTCCCTCTTATCCACAAGAGTTGCGATTGCCTGTGGTGGTGACGACCTGGGGCAGACTTTGGCCAGGCTGTTCTCAGGACTCCTGGAAACCATAATGGCTAAACCAGCAAATCTCTGAAAAATGGAGAATATGCTGGAGCCCGCACAACCAGTGAGGGTGAGCCATTCAGGTATCAAGTAATTAAGTATAACACTTTCAGTTCAGGTTTCACTTCAAGTGATCAGAACTGAATAGAATGCTGGAAATTGATGCTATGAAGACAAAATTCAAGAGAAACTCCAAAACAAGTCAACAGAAGCGTAATTTATTTACAATGGCATTGCTCTTCTTTACGTGTTTCAGTTAAAGCGGAACAAAAAATGCAAGTCTCTTAGTTATGTATGCGAAAAAATAGGTCTAAATTTAGTCCAAATTATAGCACGAAATCAAAGTGTATGGAAGAATAAAGCCTAAGCACTTATTGCAAAGATATACATGAAGCGCGCAACATTAACAACGACAGTAAAAATCGATAACGGGCAGAACAACTCAGTAATCAATCGACAGATCAATAAATTGTGGCACAGACGTATATAACAGGCCTACATTCGTTGCGAGAAAACAGGAAAAAAAACGAAGACGAAAATAGGAACTAGATTATATCTGTTGAACTAGTACGGGAAAAGAGATCGGGAATTGACACGTATTTGTTTCATTACACTCCTATACCGGAATCTGTTTGGGCTTGATGATTTCTGGAAAAAAAAATAAATGAACGACATAGTTAATTTACTAAATTTTTCTTGGCTAAGCAAAATAATCGATAGACCGTCAACAGAAAAACATCTCAACAATCTGGGAGAAAAATCTTGGAAAATGCTTGCGTAAGCTCGCTATTAACGGGAAATAGAAGCAGGTCCGAAAATTTCTTATACTTTATTTATAAGACATTTTCAAAATCCTCCTAACGGTTTGCCGCCTCTCGTGGCTGAGAGGTGTTCCTGGGTGCTGGGCTGCGATGTACAGAGAGGGATTTATCTCCCGGCAGGATCTCCCAAGCTGAGGAGTCCAGCGTTTCCACCAGGAAGCCCAGCTAAAAGTGAACCAATATCAGCATCCATCACCGCCCTGGTATCAAACTAGTTGCATGGTGGCAAATCTCTCTCTCTGATCCACGAAGGCGGCGACTGAGGTGGTGACCAGCTGAGGCAGACTTAGGCCACCCCGGGACTCAAGATAAACGCAATGGCTCAACCAGCAAAACTACGAAAAATGGAGATTATGCTGGGGCCCACAAAACTAGTGAGGACGGGCGGACCGGCCGTCCAAGTATCCAAGTAAGTAGGTTTCAAAATGCAACCTTCCAAACGATATGTGACATTAAATGAAGGTCAAGGGCCTGAAAACCTAACGAAAAGAATTGTCCATACTGTTACGTTTTTGAATTCGAAGACTTTTCCGAATTTCTTCTAGAAATTTTACTACGTACAAGTAAACATTTAACTAATGTGCTAAAAAACACTATTTTTTCTAATCGTACTTTAATATTTCACTTTTAGTGCTTCAATATCTCTCATAGCCCTCACCCATTCAAACTCCGTGTAATATCGTCCGAACAGCAGGTGGACGAATTGTCAGTTCTTTTAGTGAATGCTGAAAGATCGTTGATTAATAATTCCATTGTTTTTTTTTTAACTAAAATTCTCAACCATTTTAATGAGAAAGTGAGAACTGCAATCAATACACAACTCTCTCATAATAAATATCAGATCGAAGATATTTATTCGATGATTTTTCCTCTGTGGATTTAGTTCTTAGTAATTAATTTGTCCTCCCAACGGTTTACCACTTCATAGTGGCTGGGAATTGTTCCTGGGTGCTCGGTTGCGAAGTACAGCAGGAGATATATCACCCTGATGGGGTCTCCCAAGCTGAGTACTCCGGCGTTTCCATCAGGAGGCCTAGATAAGAGTAAGCTAATACGAGGATCCGTCACCATCCTGACTCCAAACTACTCGCATGGTGGCAAATCTCTCTCTGTTCCACAAGGGCTGCAACTGCCCGTGGTAATGACGACCTGGGGCAGACTTTGGCCAGGCTGTCTTTGGGACTCCAGAGAACCAGATTGGCTAAACGAACAAGTCACCGGAGAACGGAGGTCGTGCTAGGGATTGCATAATCAGTGAGGATGAGCCATCCAAGTATTCAAATAAGTGAGTATTTGTCACACGCCGCTTAGAACTAATATTCTGAGAAAAAGTAAGTGACGATCAAATGGCATATAAACTGCCTTTATGACATTTTTTCCTTAATATGTAGTTTATGCTTATGAAAAAAAGTTGTTTCCTATACAATGCCTTTCATTAGTTTCTTGCTTTGTACTGATCCCATTTAACCGTCATGCTTTTTCACAAGATTCACTCAGCTATCCTAGTGCTGACGTTTTTCCGCTTCTGCTTAAAGTAGAAATCATAATGGTACATAATCCACTATAAGTGCTGCTACTAAAAGCAGTTATAAAAACAGCAGCTCTCGAATTGTTCACCCACACGGATTGCACTCAATGGAACCGTCATATTTCCCTATTTTATTCATTGAACAAACCTTTTGACAAACAAAACCTTAAACAGCACCTTCGTATAGACTGTTTACTGTTCACTACAATATAAGAGGGGTGCGTGTAACACAGTGGTTAGAGCTGCGTGCAACGTACATGTGGTCATTGATTCGATCCCGCGATTGAGCCTCACCAAGCCAACCATTTCTCCGGGATCAACAAATTAGTGTCAAACTTGTCTGCGAGGAGAAAGACACTGACAAGATAATGTCTTCACTTTCATTTACTGCCCATTACTTTTTCGTGACAGGGTACAATGTGGAATAAAACCATAGGAATGCTGAGACATTATCAAAAGTCGAGAATCCATGTGGACTTCAAACCAGTAATTACCCTTACTGATACCATACAACAGCAGGGGCCCAAAACTCCCTGTATAGGCCAGCTGTGCACTCAATCGCCTCTATGGAGCAACTAACCCAATTCAATGTATAACTCATACGCCGGGCATTTATCAACGCAGAACTTGACACTTTATCTTTACAATTTAGTTTGCAAATGAATTGAAATTATCCACGATACATCTTTGAGCCTAGCACACCCTTAGCTTCATTAGTTAGCGGATTCCAACGTACTCACCGTTACCAGTAATTATCTCGTCTGGAGCGTAAATCACATCATCGGCATGATTTTCCGGTAACTGAACTTGCGAAGCGTACATGGAAATTGTCGATCGAATCAATGAATCGCGGTCCATCGAATGATCCATTTCACCTTAAACAAAGACGTTAGAACAATAAAAACAGAAGAAAAGAAACAAGCAACAGAAGAAACCATCTGTCCAATAAATGTTTCGTTCTCTTCCTTAGTGAAGAGTTTCACTACGTTACTATTCTCTCTTCACAAAATACTAATAGGGATTTAGAATGATTTTTTTTAGTTGATGACGCCTTAAGCTTATGCTCTTCTTAAGGTTCACTAGTGTTTTAAATCTTCTAAAAAAGGTGAACACGAGCAACCATGTTGTTGTTCTATCTACCTCACTATTTCTGATCCCTTTGATTTATCACCTAGAGCTTGGAGTTGGTTATTAGTAAGGTAGTGATAATGTTTTCGATAACCTACAGGATAGGAGGCGGATAGCGCAATAGTAGCGATGCCGATCATCACGAGCACGGTACTGGTTCGAGCCGCATCGGGCTCACCAAGCCTCAACCCGCCGGGGTCGGGGAATTCCTAACCGACCTGTCCAAAAAAATCACTCCGCAGTGCATATGGGAACGCCTTATACATATATATATATATATATATATATATATATATGCATATATAAGAATATATATATATATGAGAACGGCTATCTCAACACTCCAGTGAGAGAGGAATTGAAAATGTAACTTGGCTCTACATAGTGGTAAACATGTTTCTTTGATAGTTCCATTTGAATGCGTCGTTTTCTTGTTCAGCAATCGCGAGGTTGTTAAACAGCATACATTTACTTCCACAGAAAAACAAAATACAATACAACAGTAGCTGACGTGTCGGCAGCATCTCCTTCTTCAGAGCCTGGAAGGGTACACTGATATACAATCTACTAGGCCAAACGCTTCAATAACACTTACAAAAAGACGAAAACTCTATGGTAATTACATGATCAACAGCTTGAAAAACTCACCCAGTAAACTGTATATCAGTATGCCCTTCCACGTTCTGAAGAAGGAGACACTGCCGACCCGTCACTTACTGTTGTATTGTATTGTGTTTTTCTATGGAAGTAAATGTATGCTGTGTAACATCCTCGAGATTGCTGAACAAGAAAACGACGGATTCACATTCCAATGCCGAGATTAACAAGAAGTCGATCCTGGGAACAGTTCCATTTGATTTCTGAACTTTCACAATTTTTTAACTTCAACAACTGGACATCAGATCCATCGGCACTCCTTGCGTTCCCACTCGTTTTCTCTCATCCACCATCCATGAAGATCTTCGAACTTCTCGAGTTTGGTTTCAGCTGCTGAATGAGTATTGCCGTCTTCCTTATGAATGTTGCTGAATGCTTGCCTAGTCGATTACCCTTGCTGTCCAGAGATAACCGCATTTGATCATTCCCACTTGGATTGCAGGAAATGGACTATTCCCACACAAGTCTGGTACCAACTTCCCGACAGCAGAGTTACTGAGAGACTTAGTCAGACTAGTGCGGGGTCGAACCATGAACGTGCTCACTATGCGAAGTTCAATTTGAGCTAAGACATGTTAGTTTTTGAAAGCGGTCTTTATTTTCGCACCATGAGAGTGGAACTCAACTCCAGACACTAACTACTAACATTAATTAAGTCTCGACACTCATTCGATCCCCATTCATTCATAAGTTTTAAGACTGCTGCACCTTTTATACTTAGTAATCTTTGTTTATGTCGCTTTTTAAAATAACTAGGAAAAAACCAACCGCATTTGTTTCTTTAAGACAATTTATTGCCAGAAATATTTTGAAGCAAATATTAGTTATAAGAAAATTATGGCAACATCCAAACTGGCTAGAATATTCCCCATTATCCCCGAAGGTTTCACAACTAAATAGACAAAATGTATTGAAACTTAAAGAGTTCTTAACTAAAAAAAAATAAAATCTGTCACACTGTTTAGTTTTAATGAGTCACTTCATTTAGAGCGTAAAGTAAAATACGCTACTCATACGGTAAGGGCCAGACAAAATATGTCCCTAATAAGGCATAAAAGGGATAAAAAAAAATAAAATCGAATAGTGTTTTCATAATATGCATAGTGATGATTATAAAATGCAATAGATTTCTGAAACAAACAGCCAAAACACTTTAAAATGTTGGCGCTCCTATTTTCACTTACAAATTGATGCTTGTGACAGACGAGCATTTGATTGCGACCGATCCGAATTGCTCGATCGGGAACGGAATTGCACTTTTCCACTGTAAAATTCAAGGTACTTCTTCTTTGTTTCCGAACGAAAAGGAGTAAAGGATAAAGGATAAAGGACAAAGCTATCGGCGTTGATCAATCCCTGAGGGATGTACCATATATTCGACTTCATTAAGCATCGTTTGGAGGTGACTGGCTGCAAATCTGGCCCTTACAATGATTTGAGGTGGCTTATCGATGTGTCGAGCCAGTGATGCTATTTCCCCAGACAAATCGGGCACCAATTTGCCGAACTCGGAAGGATGGAAAGCCTGGCGAGCCATGGACGCGGGAATCGATCCCTTGTGTGTGTAGTAAGGCGCCTCCGAGCACTGCGCCACACCAGCCCTCACGAAAAGTAGCAAAACACATAATAAGTACGATAATAATGACAATAATAATAAAAACAACAATAACAGTAAAAGCAATCGAAAATTCCTTACGGTTTTGGTCTCGATGACGCCTCCAGCCCTTCTCCGTTACCGTATCGATAGATCATCACATCGAAATTCCTCTGCATACTTTCTCGCTCCTCTTCAATCGCTAACTGCTGCCGCTTTAACTCTTCGTTCTGATGCACCAACAATCTAAAAATCAGTGAAGCTATTTTTCTTTACGCCACTTTCTAATTTTTCCATTTCATTCTTTATATTTTTCTTCTCATTTTTTATTGTCGTTTCCCTAAGCCTTATCTTCAGCCTAAATTCTACAAAAAAAGAAAAACAGAATAACGTGGCAACCGCTCGTTTCACAAAAGAACCAAATTTTCCACTAACTCTTCTGACGAAAATGTCATTTGAAACAGATCCTGCTCGTGATTTTCATGCTTATCCAATCAATAAGGCATCAGAAACGGTTGCCTAGAAGTGATTTTCGTCTGGAACCAACTGCTTCGACACAGTTCGTGGAACAGCTAAGGAATTTCTTGATATGTCACCCAAGGGATCTATCTGACACCGAGATCTCGTACTCATCGACCTTTTTTCAAGCGTGAACTCTGACGGCTGGGTTCGTTCCCGCCACATGAGATATTCATCTTGTCGTGGATCGGCGACGATCCGATCTTCGACAACTACAGTTCTTGTATGAAAACCGGATCAATATTACCAATAAAGATAGACCATCGACGATTGAAGTTGTTTCAGAGCAGCGCTCGACCGATCTTTCAGATCTCTCGACCGATGTTTCAGAGGCACCGATTCAGACAAAAGCAAGGGCAGACTTATAGGTTAAAGCTGACCAAGTGATTTCGATGAAAACCCCTGCATATGGATTGGAAGCCCCACCTCTCTTGAAAAAACTTTGAACATTTTGTTTAAAAAGTCAAAAATAGATCACTGGTGACCGTAAAAAAAACGTCCGAGAAAAATATTTGATTGATAAAAAAAAAACGAAAGTATAACTTTCTTTTCGTAGGTGAGCTTCTGATCAAGAGCCTGCTTCAGTTCTATCACTTTATGCTTGAGCTTTGTAATCTCAAGCTCTTTCACCGGGATCTCCTCAACACGTAATGCAACCTGAAATTTTTCGAATACGTAAGAAAAGTTAAAACTTTGGTCTCTGAACGAGGCCGTTATTCACTTAAACTTCTAGAGTTACCCGTATCCCTAAGCTATCCATAAATAAATTTTCCCGACTTCTTGAAAATAACCCAGTCATGAAGATGCTGAAGTCTACTGCAGAAATACCAAACCAACATATGAAAACTGAAGAAACAGAAGAGCAGTGCCAACAAATAACGATAGAAACAAGTAAATAAAAATGAAATACTAACAAACCTGCTGATATTTCTGACGCAGTTCTTTCATTTCGCTACTTTTGAACTCTAGTGCTGTCTGAAGTGAGTTGATCTCTTTAGTCAACATCTGAAAATCACACAATGTAATAGCAAAATGTAAAGTTAAAAAAAAACAAAAGAAGAACGAAAATAAAAAGTGATACGACCATTAATGTATTTTTTTTCTCACTTCTTATCGAGTGAGCATTAGTGAACACGGCTTAGTTATGAGTGGGCGATGAACCTCGTCCTTACTACTTGTTTTCAAGTCATTTATTCATTCCTCGAAAATTTACTAGAACTATATTCATAATAGGAAATCCGCAACCTTAATGCCTACTGACAATACCATTTGGCCAGCGAAATTTGTCTCGAGAAGCAATTCACTAAGCAAAGCAATACATCTCAACGAATATTGAGATTTTTATACTTGGATACTTGGATACTTGAATGGCCCGTCTTCACTGGTTGTGCAGGCATAATTCCCGTTCTCCGGAGATTTGCTGGCTTAGCCACTGTGGTTCCCTGGAGTCCCAAGATTAGCCTAGCCAAAGTCTGCCCCAGGTCGTCTCCACCACAGGGAGTCGCAGCCCTTGTGGATCAGAGGGAAATTTGGCACCATGCGACTTGTCTGATACCAAGACGATGGTGGATCCTGGTGTTGGTTTACTCTTGGCCGGAATACCTGATGGAAATGTCAGACTCCTTCTCAGGTTGGGAGATCCTGCTGGGGTGATGAATGTCCCTGCTGTACATCACAGTCCGAAACCCAGGAACACCTCCCAGCCACGACGGGGCGATAAACCGTTGGAAGGTGAGATTTTTATAGAGCTAGAAAACTGTCTAATTGCTAACAAAATAAGTTGTATGAAGGAAGCCAAAACATAAAATACATCTCTGACCTGATTACGCTGGTCGCTATCGTTGGCCAACGCCGTCTGTAGCGTCTTCTTGTCCACCAGCAGCTGATGGATTGTTCTCTCACCTTCGGCGATCTTTTCGTCCAACGATATGACAACCTACAACTGAAGATTAAAGTTTGAGAAGAAAAGTATCATGTTATAGCACATAAGCTGAATAGGTTAAAGTTAATCTTAACCCTTTTATTTACTGCCTTTTTCTTTTTAATGGCAGGGNTCGGCAATGAACCCAGTTAAGCTGAGGCTTAGTTATAATCACAATCTTAACCCTTTTATTTACTGCCTTTTTCTTTTTAATGGCAGGGTATGTTGCGAAATATAACTCGTACATAATGCTGAGATATTTGCAAAACTCCGGACCGCAGGTGTATGCGGTGGGGAACGAACGAAGGCTATTGTCCTTACCGGGGAGTAGCGCACTTCACCACCACACCATCCGGGTCTTTCGTTTTGCCTGTCTCTCAGCTAGTCTCTGCGGTCCGGAGTTTTGCAAATATCTCAACATTATATACGAGTTGTATTTCGCAACATACCCTGCCATTAAAAAGAAAAAGGCAGTAAATGAAAGGGTTAAGATTGTGATTATAACTAAGCCTCAGCTTAACTGGGTTCATTGCCGATTTGGGCTCCCCAGATCAATCCCGTTGACGGGTGATTGCTGATGGCAAAAGATCAATAGAACTAGCTGAGAGAGAGGCAAAACGAAGGACCCGGATGGTGTGGTGGTGAAGTGCACTACTCCCCGGTAAGGACAATAGCGCGCGTTCGTTCCCCACCGCATACACCTGCGGTCCGGAGTTTTGCAAATATCTTAGCATTATATACGAGGTTAAAGTTAATTAGGTAAAATTAGAAAACATGTAAGACGACTACTAGAGAAACTACTTTTAAAAGAAAAAGCTATATGTTCTTCCTTCATTTTTCGAAGAGAAAAAAACAGCTAAACGATGGAGGAAGCAAACAGCTACTTCTAGAAGGAAAATGGAAGAAAAAAATGACATTTCCTTTAGATGAACATCGAATACTGCTATTCAGACTGTAGTGAAGTATTCACAAGCAGAGATTGCCAAATTAATGACGGTGGAAAAAAATGGACTTCAGAAATTTTAGATATATTTGTACGATTTCAAAACAGGATTTGCCGAAAACCGCTGGAACAGTCATTAAATATTTGACGTGAACGTCGTCAACGAACACGGAAATCCTTCATGGCAAATTCTATGCCTCCCATAATGATGCTACCAATGGAATTCAATCCATGGCGTATCCCTCAGGGAATGGTAGGCATCAGACGCCTCATCGCTCTTTTTCTTGGTGAGAAAAATCGAAACTATTTTTCTACACCAACTTAACATTTTTGATCATTCGCTATGATTCGTAACTACTGCGGAAGCAAAAAAGAACACTTACGAATTGATGACGATTCACTGAAACGCTTAAACGAATTGGATGTTTTTGTATTATCAAGACTACAGGTGGTAATTCAGTATTGCATAAATCTCTGATCGCTTCACAGGACGCTCAGTAACTCAGCCTGACTGATGATGATCGATCGTAATCTTCCCTACGATCAACCGCTTTACGATCGACATATTGGATTTCGTGGATAGCAAGCACATATTTTGTCACATATAAGATAAGCTGCTCAGTAATGTTATAAACGTTTAAAAAAGATCCAGATATCATAGAAGCAATATTTAGACATTCAATATGGTGACTTTCATGCGAGGGATAAATCCTGGCATAGAAGTTAGTGATTATTCTAAAAAGATCTTATTTAGCTCTTTAAAAATCTGAAAGACTATGTATGAATTCTTCATTATCCTGTCTTTATTATAGTTTCACTGAAATAAGAACTTGCTTCAAAACATTCCCTCTTACAAACACCAAAAGTCAACGAACTGATCTATGGAACCAGTCACCGCACCTTCTGATGCCGTCTACTCATGGCCTCCAGTTCGGCTTCGTGACGACTGCGTTCATCTTCTAACGCCCGTTCAGCTTCTTTGGTTTTTTCGGCCAACTGAAAATATTTTACATAAAGATCTTTTTAATCCCTTCTAAAGGAATTTTTAATTTTCAACGTTAGTCGAAGAAATTTCTTAACAACCTTGTATTAGCACATTAACGACACAAGACATAATTTTTCATAAGATTCTTAACAGCTATAAAACAGCGGACGAGTTTCTCTACTAATAGGGAAATAATGTTGTAAGCAAGTAATGGTTTGACTCATATTATTTCAAAGTGGACGTATGTAAAATCCTACTTATGCAAACTGCAAACCAATAGGCCACTTCTCTCTCAATAAATCGAGGTGTAGTAGAAACCACACATACAAATCCATATGTATTGATTTTCTTATTAATCTTTCTGGCTTAACTTGGACGCAAAATTGCAGAAAGCGATCACAATGTAAGCTCTCACAAGACAAGAAAGCGAAAGAAATTTGGACGAATGGTCCAAAATGTACAATACTGGTTCCAAACTTTCACAATGAGGAAAAGACCTTCGAGTAGGGAAGCGCCAGCGAAGATATGCTGCCAACGACAACGACCACTCGAAGACATCACTCACTTGAAGTAAATCCAAAGCACAACGACCTAAGATCTTGCAAAGAGTTCGGACAGAAGGGGAACAACAATTTTGAAAAACCTTAATCGAATTAAACAATCCAAAAAAACTCGAAAAGTGGATCGAACGGAAAACAAATGCAACCTGGCCTGTGCATAAGAAAATAATGTTTCCTAATCGCATTGTTCGACAAGAGGGATGCACTGGGACATTCACGAAGCTCAATTTGGAAGCCTAAGAAGACTATGATGAGTTTTTGTGCTCATCACAATAAAATAACCACTGGAATTTCTCGAATTCATAAGAAATTCAGTGAAGACATTTTATCGAGAAAAGGAAACAAAATACACCAAAAAGTGCATTGTATGCAATATGCATTTATCAAATGAAACATGTTGCTTCTCACGCATGATTAAGCCTGTCCCATGTCATGCAAGTGGTATTTAACAATTGCAGTTCGATATGAGTTGATTTCAACTCATATGGTACCAATATGGCAACCACTTTCAACTTCAAAACAATATACATGCCAGCTCAAAGCGAACTTTACTAATCACAATAAAAAGCGATAGAATCCGCAAATCTTTGCTCAATGGACGAATTTTCTCGGGTCCACCAAATTTATTTAGTGGACTTTTATTAAACAAGCGGTATTTCGTCCAACAGAACATGATGATGCCCCCAAATCTGACCATGATGTTTATGCCAGCAGAGGATTCGTTTGCAAATTTGAAGTCTTGAATCCGGTCTCTTTTTTTCTTGAAAATTTCAATTCTAAACAATTTTAAAGATCAGGTAGCAATTTATAGAAACATACTTTCTCTCAGAAATACAGAGCAAAGCTGTTCCTACAAATCCACCACATTCTTATTTTAATCATCAAAAAATTGTCAGCTCTTTGCTGAAAACCAGCTTCAAACCCTAAGCGCTAAGAGCCAGAGCAACCTGTGATAATGAGGCCTGCCTCCGCCAACTTCGTCATTAGAATTATCAGTAAGAGAAAAGCAAAGAGAAAAGCAATTACTCAAACATTTCAACCATTCCTTCCAAAAAAAAACGTTGACCAGTCGAGAAGCAACCAAAAGGACTCTGACGAATTTGTCGGATTCAATCCGGAAATAGAAACGCTTATATAAACGGGACGTCTAATCTTGCAGTACATTGGCACTTATTCATTACGTTTCTCTTGACTAAAAGTTGAATTTTAATCACACTATTACATTCTCAACTGTACGTTCAAAATCGGATATGTGACACTGAGAAAACTACAACTGTACATTCACACTCATCCTGCTTTGGGGCCTGTACATTGCATGATCATCGATCGGTGTCGAAGCGAGTTAGGCGATGACCATCGCCACGTAAATAACGATACTGTAGGCCTCTCTGACGACTTGAAGCATCCTAACTAAACCGTCCAATAAGCTCAAAAGGTGTTTGTTTGTCACCTGATAAACATCATTCGAGCAAACTACCAGCCTATTTGAAAGCCTATTAACCCATTCACCATTTCGTGACGAAAATGTTTTTTCAACACTTAACGGTATCTTGATCATTTATGCAACGAAGAGTTGTTCAAGATTAACGGCATATACAATTATCGTAAAATGTTCGTTGAACTGTAGTAATTTTCAACTAGACGCCTCGGAAACCAAAAACGAAATCAAAACTTTCAAAATCTCCAATGTAACCACGGCAGCTGCAAACATCTACGGCGCAATCGACGACATCATCGGTCTGCTGCTGGACGAAAACCCGATCATTCAATTGCTTTCGTGTTCGAAATGAAAGTTTTGATGAAAAAATAGAAAGCGAAGATACACGTTTTGTGATCTATAGAGAAACTGAACCTACAGATTCTACTCAACTTCATTTCAGTAAAAAAATGCTCAGTACGAGCTCAGATACGTTTGTTTACAACTGAAAACATCCACCGTTTTTTATTGTGTGCATTGAAGTCAACACATGTAGCTGTGACTGAGTTGACGAGGAACCAATGGATTGGTAAAAACTGTCCAAAATCGACAACAAGAAGAGTTTGAATCATCTATTCACTAAAAATACTGTAACTGTGCTGACGATTCGCTCATAGTACCAGTTATAGAGTGAGTTAATGAAATGTAACTACTACATTATATAAATCGATTGTACCTATCAGTATTCACTTATATGATTTATCCACTATAAAATCACATCTTCCTGCTCACCAAAATGAATAAATACGAATTTATATAAGCAAAAAAGCAGCCTCCCAACGGTTTACTCCCCCATCGTGGCTGGAAGGTGTTCCATGATGTTCGGCTGCGATGTACAGCGTGGGGATTCATCTCCCCGGCAAGGTCTCCCAAGCAGAGAAGGAGTCAGGCATTTCCATCAGGAATCCTAGATAAGATTACACCAATACCAAGATCCGGTACCGCCCCGATACCAAACTAGTCGCATGGTGGCAAATCTCCCTCTGACCCACAAGGGCAGCGACTGCATGCGGTGGTGACGACCTGGGCAAGCTTTGCCTACGCTGACCTCAGGACTCAAGTAACCACGATAGCTAAACCAGCAGAGTTCCGAAAAAGTGGAAATCATGCTAAGGCCCGCACAACCAGTGAGGACGGGCCATCTAAATATCCAAGTAAAAAGCAGAATAATTTTCGGCTTTTTAATAAACCTCATAGAAATGCGTCACAAGTTCACGTTCCACTTACAGAATCATAAGCCTAGAGAATAAACATTGCGAACGTTTAACGACTTGATGACAACTCCGGTAAAACGACCAATAAAGTACGTAGCGATTTGTCAATAGAAGACAAGCTTGTGACCAATTCAACTAAACGCTGTAATAAGGAAGGAGAAGCTTGACTGGTAGGACTTCGATTCCCAATCAAGTCCACCAATAAAAAACAAATTGTGGGTTATAAGTGACTATAAAACGTAAATAAGAATAAGAACTAAGAGTACATGTGAGCACAGCGCCAGTTGGTCTTCTTACCACCACCTCTTTTAGAAAATTGATCAATGAAAATTATTAAAAAGTGTTTCAATTGAGCAATGCACCATTAAACTAACTTTCCTGTTTCCTTAGCCATTATCATTTTATCAAACTTATCAGTCAAACCTCCTGGAAAATGGCTCGGTATCCAGCTAATTAATCAAAATTCCTGGAAAGTATTCTCGTTGAAAATGTTCGAAGAAATACCGGTTTCAGTATCTATAATGTTCCCAATATAAACTTTTGAGAAAAATCACGTCGAAAAATTTTGTCTTGCAGTATTCAACGATTTATTTCTCACTAGTTCAAGTTCCCCTCGTTCATCCCTCCCAACGGTTTACCACCTCATCATGATTTGGAAGTGTTCCTGGGTGTCGGATGCGATGTACAGCGGGGATTCTTGTTCCCGGCAGGATCTCCCAAGCTAAGAAGGAACTGAGAAGGAGTCTAGCGATTCCAGCAGGAAGCCCACTTAAGAATAAAAAGATACCAGGATCCACCACCGTTCTGGTACGAAAACAGCCGGATGTTGGCAAATCTCCCTCAGATCCACAATGGCGGTCACTGCCCATGGTGACGACCTGGAGTAGACTTTGGCCAGGGTAACTTTGGGACTCCAAGGAAACACAATGGGTGAACCAACAAAACTCTAAAAAGTGGGGAATGTGCTCCGCCCGCACAACCAGTAGGGAACGGCCCTCTAAATATCCAACAATCCAAGTAAGTTTAAGTTCATCATAACTGAGGTGGTTAAATTTTTAGACTAAAACTGATTCAAAATTGATCTTTGTAAAGATCATTTCTTGGACACAGCAAGTATTATTACACTACCGTTAAACAAATTTTTTGAAATTAGTCTAAATCTAAAATCTCAATTTAAAAAAACGAATTTGGTTTTAACCAATAGGTAAAACAAAGATTACAAATGAAATGATGTCAATATTAGTGCTTGTATAACCCTATTATTAGTGTGGGAATATTCGAGCAAGTCTCAAGCTCACCTGGCTCTCATAGCGCTCTTTGGTCCTCTCGAGAGCTTCGACTTGTGATCGAGCTACTGTAACGATAATAGCAATAACGGGAACAAATCCAGCGAATAAAATACAAATATTGATTGGAAATCTACGCCGTCCATCACAGTCCATAAGTGCGCTCAGTGAGCAAAGCACTAATGACGATGTGACAATAGAGAAAAGTAGTGGACGTTTGTGAATTTCGCTCCTCATAGATTCGCAAATATTGGTAGATACGGTCGGTTACAGTATGAACGGTATCTCTCTATGATGAGAAAGTGATGTTGTTGTTTCGACAAGTAATTTGATTTTTATCGCCTTTACGAGGATTACATCCCCGACTTATCAATTTTTCGAAAAATAGGCCGATAGGTGGTGGTAGCCGGAAGACGCGACGTGGTTGTAACGGTTCAATCTATGGTTGGACCAGAGTTCGACTAGAAAATCGCTGATATATACTATATCGGCTGGCCGTCGAACGAGCTGTGCTACAGTGGGGATACTGGCTTCGCTGTAGATGACGTTCCGATAAGCGTTGATGCGGAATCGGATCGAATTTCAGGGCGGGGCTATGGGTGGGGGAATGGGCGGGTTCAGCGTCGCACACTGTCACACTTCCTGACGCGTTCGCGCATTAAAAAAAGCGATCAGGCGACTACTTCGGACGGTATAAGTGGAATTGAACTACAGAAATCTCTAGCATTTTTCATTTCTTCATAGAAAAGAATCATACTGATAGTCTTTGTGAACGACCATTAGCATCCCCGATTCTTCGCTACTATCAATTATAGAACAGTTCAAGACCGCTAAGAGTCTTCCATAGCAACTATCAAAGTGGACCATGAAAATATGCTACCTAAACTACGTCTCCTAGAAAAAAAGAATAGGTACCCGGAAGTTGGTAGAAAACTTTTTAGTCTATATGTACTTAAATCGCTAAAAAATGAAGAATACTAAAGGATAAAAATAAAGCTCTTGGCGTTGATCAACCCTTGAAGGATGCGCCATGCATTCGACTTCATTAAGCATCGTTTGGAGGTGATTGAACGCACATCTGGCCTTTACAATTTGCGGTGGCCTACCGATGTGTCGAGCCAGTGCTGCTATCCTCCCAAATAAGTTTAGTAACAATTTACCGACTCCGAGAGGATGCAAGGCTTAGTGAGCCGAGGGCGTGGGGGTCGATCACACGTATATGTTGCAGGGCGCCTCCGATCACTGCGCCACACGCACCCGGAGAATACTACGATATAAAATAAATGTCGCCTATAAATTACCTTGCTCACTATGACTTCTAAATCGTTCAACATCGTCTAGGTGCAGTTTTTCTCGTTTTTCTAAATGTGATTTCAACTCCTCCACAATTTCCAAGTGACGAGCTGCAATGACGCTTCATAATTTCCATACGACACCGTAAGATGGTCGCTCAATTCCTAACCAAAAAAATTCCCGCTAAAAGACTTTCACCTGCTTCATGGTGTTCTGAAATGACCTTTTCCACGATTTACATGATATACAGTAAAACATGACAATTCTACTGCTTTAAAAACACCAACATCGTTCTTTCACACGGCAGATGAATTTCCTTCCACGAAATATCTCATTTGTCAGGGATCTTTAAATTTCTCGTCTTTCTTACACTAAACTACAATTGTGACCACCACTGAACTCAGCTTAACAACGTACGTTTCTTTTCTCTTTTTCTGTTTCTTCTACTTCTGCCCACTTGTTCAATGTTGCATTAGCCAAATGTCCTCTACAGTCGTCACATTAGTACATTCTCATTAAAGAACTGCCCATTCTCATTCCCCAGAATTTATCAACGCCATCAAAGCAACACTATTCGGCCTACCGATGTCCTCGTTTGCCTCTTCCAGCTGGGACCGCAATCGCGCGCCCTGCGTCTCTGATTGCGTGATCACCACACATAACGCCTCGAATGCTCGAACAGCAGACTGTAGTCGTTGCAGCTTTTCGTTGTTGGCTAAGGAAAAAAAGATGTAGAATCTTATCATTTTTGAACCAAACACCTGATGAAACATAATCATTGAAACACTAATCAAGCAAATACATTAAATGAATTAGCACTTTCAAGTTGAAGATTTTAGCTTCCAGATCCCTGGTCGAATCACTATGAAGGGCACGGACCCTTGCGGTAAAGTACCAGCGCGTCACCGAAATGGGTATATTAATCGGTCCTCATCCTTCGACAAATCAAGCAGTTTCAAAAATTTGACGACATCCTACACTGACAGAGCCGTCCCGACTTTTGGATGAATTGCTTGATTGCCGTACAAGTAGCTGGACTGAGACACAGATTACAGACGCAATCGTATATTTCTTATACAAAAATTTGCATACGAAAACCTCTTTATATAAAATGAACTTACAAGTTTCTGTTTCCGCAGCTCCACTTGCTTTCAACCCAACTGGAGCCTTCTTCTTCGACTTTCCGTCTGGAAGTGAAGACACTAAGAGCTTAGTTTTGATTGGAAGAGTGGCAACTTTTCCAATTAAGTGATAAAGCTACTAATTTAAAACCTTCGCAGAAACTTTTTAGGAAGAAAACAATTTTAAAAAATGTAGCTGATTATGAGAAGTCACAAGAGATTTATTGTTCAGCACAAATTAAAGGGAGTACTTTTAAAATATAATATAGATATAAATCAAACTATCAAATAAGTTTCTTCCATTGCTTTCGTCGCGGGACCAACGTTCTTTTTAAGAGAGAAGAACAAACATGGAGAATCCGTTAGATGCTAATTTCCATTAACACTTCTGAGTTCACTGTTACCAAAGGTTTTAAAAACAGAAAAGGAGAAGCAGAAAAAAAGTAGCGTGGTTTCCGACGTACGTTTCCAACTGAACCGATTTTGATAAAAGATTTACTCTGCTTACCTCACCATATACAACAACGTATTCAGGATCCGAAGGAAAAATGAATGATGAAAAATCATAGAGAAACAGCTACTCGCGAAAGACATCGAATAGAAAATACAGCATCAACGGCTCGAGCACTCATTCACTCGAATTGACGACAGACAGGCGAAACGAAGGACCATTACGGTGTGGTGGTGAACGCCTTAGTCACCGGAAAGGGTAATAGTGCGTTCGTTCTCCAGCGCAGACACCTGCGGTCGGGAGCTTTTCAAATATCTCAGCATCACTATGGTTGTATCACACATAATACCCTGCCAAGAAAAAGCGTAGTAGGCAGTAAACAAAAAAAGTTAACATTGTGATTTCACCCCAATTATTTGAAGAAAACTAGCTTGTATCATGTTCCCTAGCCCACTGAACTCGATTTACACATAAGCTTTCTACTTGTAGGATTCCTACTGTAATACTATTCCCGTGTCAAAGGCAAAACAAATCTATAGAATCGATTACTAAAGGCTGTATTCGACCAAGTCTTGAAACTTCTCTGTCTTCTTTTATTTCCAAGCAGGAAAAGTCTAAAGAAGGTGTTGAGGACTCACAAGAAGAGTGTATCGAATTTCGTGCGGTTCCTTTTTATCAAGAAACTTGAGCAACCAGTTCAAAGAGAGCCATCATCGTCAGATTATTAATTACTACACTTAAAGTTGTATTCAGATCAGATTTATGATGAGAAACCATAAAAATTGTCATTCGATTTCCTTTTGAAGTCTCTTCTCTATTTGTCATGAAATTTATGGCTACTTCTTCCTCGTGTAAGGTAGCAATACTTCCCACCTACTAAACACACTAATACATAAACATAATAAATCAAAAGAGACCATGACCATAGCTAAAACAGACGACTAACTCAAAATAAGAGTGACTGCTCTAATCAAGAATTATACTCTTTCTTTATAAGAGCAAGGGCGTGTGTGGCGCTGTAGTTGGAGGCGCCCTGCGACACAGACATGGAATCGATCCCCGCGACCTTGGCTCAGCAAGCCTTCCATCCCTCCACGGCCGACAAATTGGTACCAGACTTGCCTGGGAGGATAGCAGCACTGGCTCGATACATCGGTAGGCCACCTCGAGTCATTGTAAAGACCAGATATGCATTCAGTCACCTCCAGCGATGCTTAACGAAGTTGAATGCGTGGAGCATCCCTCACAGATTGATCAACGCCCAGTGATTTATGCTTTTTACCTTTTATAAGAGTAGGCTTAACAAATCTAACAAGCTCATATTGATGTAAGAACTAAAGTATAACACTTGTTAATTCACATTTATTATATCTAGACAGTAGTTAAATGAGTAATTAACAAATGATAAATAAAACACAATATCAAAAGACACAAAAACTCCTTCATTCCATAAATGTTCGCTCACCTTTACTACTGGATTGCCTCGGCGGTGTTTCGACGATTCTGGAGACATTTGGTGAGTCGATCGTCCTCTCAACGCCATTTCGTACCAATGGTGTCGATGTCTTCACTTCCTTTCGTTCTGAGAGCACTACACCTATACCTCTATCCAATTTCGTAACAGCTATAACTAACTATGTCTTTCGTTACCGGTTAAACATTCCTTTTCAATCAAAGATGCAGTTATGTTGACTTGAACGATTTTTGTAGTCGGTGTTTTGGACGTAAAGTGGTTTTGACTTCACGAAGTATCTTTTCATGAAATGTCGTCTATGGTCACTATCATGTGGATATGGTAATGACAATAATGAACGACATGAAGACGATGAGAAAAGATTAGTGTAACGGTCATCGTTTCTTCTTTCATACACCAGGTTCATCGTTCGTAATGTGACACAATCCGAAAAAAAGGAGTGAAAATCAGTGCTATTATGAATTCAGTTGAATAATACGAATAGTCGATGTCATTGCGTGGTGAATCACACCACAGTATCAGTTCGTGACATTCTTTTATACAATGAAACATCCACAAAGTCGAGGTCATGTGCCCACTGAGCAGCTCCTGCTCACAACAACGATGGATAGCGATTTTACTGCTATCCAATCGAATTGCTCTGCGATTAAGAGGAAGAGAGATGTTATGGGATAAATACCAATTTATAACTTCCCCAGCGTTGACTAAACAAATAACACACTGCATGCATTGATTTCGATGCATACCCTGTCAGAGTAATGGCCGCTTAGAGCTTTAGATCGTCATATCTAAGTTTATAGCGAACCTTATTAATTGCCTAGGTATGGGATTAATCACATAAAACTAGGTTAGTCCACTCTTGTATTTATTGATTTATCTGTTTCCTGTTACCACTTATTTTTCATTCTTTTTTTCTTTCACTTTTTCTTCTTGCACTACTTTGTTATTCCAACCTTTCCTTTTTCATTTCCACTATTCTTCACATTTGCTACTTTTCACTCTAAACATTTTATGGTAATAGAAACTGTGAAATAGTTCCTAATGAAAATGACGTTGATATCAAATAACAAAAAAGTCAAATATTCAAAGTAAGCAGAGATGAAAAATGAGATAAAATTGGGATCTTCATGTATTAAACAAACATTAGAAAACAAAAGAAAATATGAAGTAGAAAATAATGTAGAAATAATTTAAGTATAAAGAAAGAAAACATAAAACAATACTGTTCAGACCATCTTGGAACACAACTACCGTATATAGCGATGAGCGGTAAGTTGGAAGAAAGCAGAATTTATGTGTTATTACATCATTTATTGTACGTGACCCATCATCTATGTTGTGCGGATCGCAGTACGTCTTGCATCAATTCGTTTTCTTCGCCTCTAGAGGATTTCTCTTTAAAAACGCCGTAGAGTGCTGGTACGTTAAAACCTTTGAGAAAGCCGAGCTAAGGCGTTCCTATGTGGATTGGAGAAGAAGGTTAGACTCGCGATCGAATCAGGTCTTCCTCACTGACGGATTGCATCACTAGCCACTGCGCTCCACTCTGAAGTCATGGGATAGCTGGGCTAGCACATTCCCACTTGGCTCACAAAGAGTGAATCCTTCCCAGACGGTGTGGTAGCGAATCCCCGACTACGGAGTGCCTACAAGCTTAATGACCCCGGTACGGGATCGAGCCGAAATCGTGCTTGTGATGACCGGCATTACTAACACAGCGCTACCCGCCCCACTATCTAAGTCCAACAACTTAAAAACACAGTGACCTCGTCCATATCGTCAAGGACTAGTTCCCACTCCCATGTATGTTCCTAAGAGGATTGGTCTCGGTAATTTCGGCTTCGATAATCTCCTAGGATAAACACAAGGTCGTCGTTCCAAGAGCGTTATTTTAGGTCCAAATAGGCCTGCCTCTTCCAGCAACAGTTCCGTGGTATAGTTCTGCCTTGCTCGTTTACCAAGGGTTCCTATGTCCTACAAGATTCTAGGATCGATAAGTATACCCACAGATTGTAAACCATCTTCGAACTATTAGTCCAATATTACGCTTCACGACATGCCAACAGGTACTTGCTCTGAACCATGTAGATTAAGATGAGCTTCCTGTGCTCGCTGCTCTAGAATGATTTATATCCTCGCATCATACCAAAGACGTAATGATATTCATGCGTTTGTCTTCTTATGTGCGCTCCAACTCTTCTACCTATCGACTCCACCAATAAACATGTAGTGAGAATATAGGGAGTATTTCGGGAAACACCTCCAATCAACAAATAAACCCCACACCTACTCTAAGCGAGCTCGCAAAAACTTCTCGTGAGTTTACTTCATTCCCACGACGGACAGGCAAGCTCTGTGAAAATATCCTCTCGCCAAACACTGAGAGTGAAGAGCTTCGATTTGTGGTGAAGTAGTGCCTCAAAAAACAAAGCGAGCAAACATAGGATTCGAATGGTAACTTATTACTGCGTGCTCGATAGCAGTATGGATTACTAGTGCTTGGTATTTACGTCTTGCAGCTGAAGAAAGGGACCTAGAATCTCGCCGAGGCCGGGGCTCAAGCTGTCTCTTTCATGAAAGCTGATGGTTTCTGTCCGTTCGTCGACAACATCAAATACCCAAGTGAAAACGGTTTCATCAGGATATAAGCTAGACTTGACTTTAAATCTTGAAATCTTGCCTTTTGAGTTCTAGAAAATTGCTGCACTGGAAGGTAGATCGCCGCTGTAGACAACCTTAAATCCGAACCGGAGCAGCCCTTTAAGTCGCAGAAGTCAAAGCTTCATGGAGAAAACCAACCATTCCCTGATTAGATGTATAGTTCAAACAGTCCATCATCAATGATCGAAATTAATGATCGGTCAGTAGTCTCTTTCAAATGCAGCAGTCGCGAAAAGATATCAATACATTCATGTTTCATTTAATCGAATCATTAACATATATGCGACTTATGTATTTATATCAATGCATGTACTAGTTGGCAGAATAGACACGCATTGATTCCAATGCACTTTCTATCCAGCTGTTTAAATCGTCGAAAAGAGATTACTTGCTATACGTTTTGGACTCGATTAGTAGCCTATATAACACGTATGCCGTGGCAAAAGTGGTACGTAGAAAGCTCTTCTTTGCACTTCACAAATTACAAAGCATTTTTTCAAGGATAAAAAAGCAGGCGTGGCTTTAGGCGATGTAAAGCCAAATGTAATCACTAATCTGTAATTTGGCCAAACAGCTGTGGAAGGGCGAAGATGAAAGAATTGCTCAAAGAAAAAAAAGAAAAATTCCATAATATCTACCTTTAGGCGGTGGTGGGACGTACAGTGGTTTTCGTTCCTTCTTTGGTCGTTCTGGTTTTGGTGGCAGCGCTGGAATAGAGTTCACGGTCTTCAGCGGTTGCTTCGCCACGCGACGCGGTGTTTCTGGCATCTTCTCGTCTAGGAAAACTATTGTTGCTGTTTGTACTCTTACATTTAACGCTCTTACGACTCTAAAGCGAGTGCACCTTTAGGGAAATAAAAAATGAGTAAAAAAGAAAACAGTGCTACGACAATGACGCGGAAAACTTTAAGTGACATATCATTCCCGTTTCTACTAGTATTTAGTGCCTATTCTTTCTTTCATAGCAAGGTATTATGTGAAATAAAACCATAAAGATAGTGATATACGAACAAACTCGAAACCCCGGATGGACCTCGAATCCGTGATTACTCTTTCGTGTGAATCACCCAATCAACTGAGGGCCTTGATTTGCTTTTCTCCAAGCCAGTTTTTTTTTCTCTCAACAATCATCCGTCAAGAGGAATGGTACACTGGTTGAACACTGATTGAACACTAATTGAGCTAGCTGCACACATGGAACGGGTAATCGTGGGTTGGTAGCCCGCCTTAGGTGCAGAGTTTTGCTCATAGCTCAGCATCAATATGGTCATATTATTTTTAATTTAACATAGCTTTAACTCCGAGAAATATTCGAATAAAAGAGGTCTGAATAGTAAGATTTTAGGAAGTGGAATTGCAAATCTTTTAATTCAACTTCACCTACTTGGAGTTTACTTACATAGAAGTACGCTGCTCTATCAATATCGTCATATCGTCATACCTGACTCCTAAACCTAAGAACTAAGAAACACTTTTACTCGAAGGAATTCGGTTCTAGAAACACTAAAGCTACCACTAAAACACTAAACACAGAAAAGATGTACTTATAGCAAAAGGATTTTTCACTTTCTCTTTTCTTCTTTCAAACCGAAAGATCTCCTTATCAACAAGAACACGCAGCACAAAACGATAGATACAGATGAACGGATAATAAGGTAAAACAATGAGCAAACTTTACAAATTAATTAAAGAGTGATGAATAGGGATAAAACAACCCTGTAAGATAAAAGTCTCGGAAAATCTCCTTATACTTCTATAAATACATTAATTTCAGTTTTTACGTTACGAATACCTTGACACTTAATCAATACTCGGTTAACCTCGACGAATGGTAATTTCTTTTGCCGAGTGTCTGCCTGAGCAAGCGATTTTCCACCGCAATGATTCGTCCCATAAAGAACTGCCTACTAGAGAATTAAACCGAAGGAGGAAATCGAGGACGAGTCAACAATGTTCAGATTTCAGATTTTTTTATAAAGATTATTTCTTGTTAAGTAATGCAAATAAGTGCAACGAAAATCAAAGCGAACGTTGCTATGAAATCTGTTCTGTGATTTTTCCAACACAATGGAAAAGAACAACTTCTCGATCGTTCGGTGACGCGCGATCGTACCTGAAAAATGAAGCGCAGAGGGAAGCTGGCGACGCCTAGTGGAGTGGTTAGACTGCAACGACGCTCCAAAACACTTCCGAAATCCGACCTATGCCCAGAGGCAACTTACCAATTGCTTACGATAACTTCTTTTTTCCGGTAGTTGGAGCTATCTATTGTAACTTCCTGAATTCTGGCGAAACTATCAAACCGGAGCAGCAGTGTAAAAAAAAAGCCGTTGGAATGTAATGACCCGTCCAACCATGAGTTAGTAGATAACCAGCGCTGCAGTGTGCACAGATAGGACTTCGGAACTAGCCTTATCTAGCGTAATAATTGAACCCTTCACCATCTGACTAAGACCTTTTCATACATCCCATCATTTATTAGTTGTATAGTGTTGGCAAATAAATATGTAGATTCTAATGAATTTTATTTTGATGTGGACGAGAAGCGCAGAGGTAAGGAATGCCATGCAGACACGCATGGTCGCTGGCTAGACACCACTCCGTGCCAGTGAAGCTTCATCTATCCTCGTCCGACAAATTAATATCAGCTCATGTTTGGGAAAAAGTTCCGACAAAAGTAGGCAACGACTTTTGATCCACAGCTGAGAACTCTCTGGTAAAAGGGCAATCTTAGGGCAATTTCAGAAGAATTAGTTGAACAAATTCATTTGAGTGAATTCTAATTCACTGATATTCATGACAAAGTCTCAAGTGCCAGCCGAACCTCCACTCAAGCATGGGCATTTTCATAGATACAACAAAAATGAACAACAAGATCTGATGAAATTCGTGCTGAGATCCGCAGAATACGTTAGTACGCACCACATAAGTGAATGAAAAATCTCATTATGATTAACACAGTTATGTTGAGCCGAGATATAGGTTTGCAAACCTTGTGTTTCAAAACCCGGCGTTATATCTGCACTAACCAAATGTTTACAATTAGTGCTAGACAATACGAAGTTCAAATTTCACACTGGAGTTTTGTTTACACTGAGAGTGTCTATCTAACTTCTTTTCATAGTTTTTTCTAGTTTCCAAGGATTTTTTACCATGACTTTTTAACCACAAGTAATCCACTAGTGGATTACTAAAAACACAAATGATATGTGATGCATTTCCTCAACAAGAAAACAAGTCAGTGAAAAAAGTTTTTGTGTACATTTAACATTAATAGTTAGGAGCAAATCGACCAGATTTCCCATCACGCGATATGGAAATAGCAACCGCTTTCAACTTCAAACCAACATATCCTACTTTAACCCGCACTTCATTAATTACTTACTTGAATGCTTGGATGGATCGTCTGCACTAGATGTTCGAGCTCCAGTATGAATTCCATTTTTCCGGAGTTTGACTGGTTCCGCCATTGCTGTTGCCTGGGGTTCAAAAGTCAGCCTGGCCAAAATTTGCCCAAAATCACTGTAACCACAGGCACTCGCCGCCCTTGTGGATCAGAGGAAAATTTGCCACCATGCGACTAGTTTGATACCAGGGCGATGGTGGATCCTGGTATTGGTTTACTCCTAGCTGGGCGTCCTGATGGAAACACCGGACTCCTTCTCAGCTTAGGAGACCTTGCCACGGCGATGAATCCTCCCGCTGTACATCGTATCCCCACACCAGAGACACTTCCCGGGCACGATGAAGCGGTAAACCGTTGAGGCTTTTGGTTACACAAAAAAAGGATCTAAAAGTCTTCGGCTACAGAATAAGTGCACTTTTGTTTTGTTCAGGTGAAATTCTTACTATCTGGAACCCAGCAGTGTTTTTCCTTTTTTTCTTGCTGAGTTTCATATTTCGAAGACAAAAATGAATAAGCGGTGTTCTATCCACTAAGAACAAGATGGTGGCTCCAACTGTATTCGTGATGCCTATGGCTGCAGGGACTTCAACTGGAATCTTGAAATTTTAAATGTTGCTCTCATTCCTTTTAAAATTTAGATTCTAAACAGAATTAAAGATCAAATTCTAATTTTAAAAAGGAACACTTGCTAGAAAACAGATTGGGGAAGTCTCCTCTGTAAGCCAATCACGCTTACTACTTACTTCTCATGCATTCCGGTAATCGAAAAATTATCAGCAGTTTGCGAAAAACCAGCTTCAGCTCCAAAGTGTTCCCAAAATTCCCACTCCCACAGCACCCAAAACAACGCAGAGGACGTAATACAACCCACTCCACCACAGCTTAACTCTCTTATGGCAAGTAATCAAAGAAACCTATGAGATCTCGGCAATTGTCGTTGCGACATGTGACCACCTTCACGGAGTGTTACTCAACAACACTACTAGCAACTGAACGAATGCTTCACAACGAGAAAAAAGCGACCACCTCGGAAGCAGATGCGAAAATCGGCGGTGAAATTCAAGATTCAGAATGCTTGTTAACACACCTTCAATGGACTGGTTTGGGTGTATTAACATTTAGCGTGTTTGGCCACATGCCTTGATGGTTTTTATAAATATTTCAAAATAACGCATATTTACTGAGATTTCGAATACGCCCGATGTTCTCGAAATCTCAATTTTAATTTGTTTTGCTCCCGTCTTTATTCAAATCTTAATATTTGACCCTTGACACAATATGGATATGTAACTGCGACTAATCAACGGCTCCTATTCTATGCCAAGGTTCACTTGATCAGCAGCTGAATGTCTGAGGAACATAAGATTTTAAAAGCTCCCTGAAAAGAAGACTTCGCTGTTAGTCGGAAAAGAAATCACCTGATCATATAAAATAAACAGCTGATCTTATAAAAATAAGTCTAAATGAAAAATTCCCTTCTAGAAAGAAATATGAGATGATGACAGGAAAAAAGGAAGGAATGGAGAACACTAGTGGTTCCTGGAAGTGTGGTTTAATTGTCTTGCGCACCATTTCCTGTTGTAGATCTTGGAGAAAATGGGAGCGGTTCTCATGACCAGTTTGTCAGAATGTGATTATGCAAACACAGAACAGGTACTTCTAAGACCACTAGAAAGGAAGGGAAAGACAAGAATTCGAAGAAAAGAAGAAAAATAGAAAGTGGAGAATATGTGAACCTGGTTTTCGCCTTAGAAGAAACTTAATGAATATCCAAAATAAACGCTCTAAAAATTTCACAGAAAAAAGAAAAAGGAGATGACTCAATGAGGAGAAGGAAAGAAAGGTTTCGTTAAACATTGGCATCAATGGCACTCAACAGAATCCAAAAATCCAGAGAGGAAAAAAGTAACAAATTTAGAAAATCAAAAGGCTACCAGAGGCATTTTATGCATTAATGAGCTACCTACAATACATTTCAAAACTTTCGAAGGAAATCTCTTTGATCTCTGAAAGAACTCTTGGGAAAGAAAAACGAACGGTGCTATGAATTCTGAACTTCCTATAGAGTCATCCATGCAAAGAAAAAAACTTGATAGCTTAAGTGGGTAATTTCGAGTCGCTATTGAAAAAGTTTCAGTTTTTCTTAAAATAAATAGTTGATCGCACGCAGATAAATTTCTAGTTCAAGGCGAGCCACACAAAACCTCAAAGGAACCGCAACAGGGTGTTTGTTTTCCCTCATAATTTTTGTATTTCATTTTTCTCGCCGAAACCAGAATATCTTACTTTGCGCCGTCCTTACGTCATCTATATGTGAGATGAACAAGATAAACAGAAAATTCAATTGAAAAAATTGAGAAATAACAAATAAGACCAATCTGGAACTCGTACACAATCTAAACAAAATATTCACTTTCTACTGGCTGCCCATGGGCACGTGTGGCGCAGTAGTCGGAGGTGCTCTGCAACCCACACATGGGATCGATCCCCGCACCTGTGGCCCACCAAGCTTCCCATCCCTTCGGGGTCGGCAAATTGGTACCAAACTTGTTTGCGAGGATAGCGGCATTGGCATGGTTTATGAAGTCGAATGCATGGCGCATCCCTCAGCGATTGATCAACACCGAGAGCTTTATCCTTTTATTTTTTCTGCTAAGTATCTGTGAGTATTCCTGCATGAGTAGTTACAATCCAATCAAAGTTGGTGTTACTAATAAAACTTCCATAATTATAGCGAACTAATCAGAGAAGTAATCGTAGAGAAAAACGAAAATGTTTATTTAGCGATAAGCCTGAGAAATCCATATAGAAACAATGGAAGCCATGAGAAAAAGAAGACGGGCTCCTATCGATCAAGGTTCCGCCTTCCATTGGAAGAAAAACAGCCATACCTTCCAAAGAAGTAGAATGCAAAAAGCGAGATAGAACGTCAAAAACAGCCAACCATTGTCAAATTTAGTAAATAAATGGATGAGCGGAATAGGGACAGATAAAACTATATCACAATAGCGGAAAACAGAGGTAATGGACACTGATGTTGATTGAACGAAACGCACACTTGAGCCTATAAACTTCATAAACTATGGCAGTCACCATCAGAATCTGAGGAATTTATGCCTAAAAACATCAGAAATCACGATATTCTAAAGTTTCCTTCTATAACAGCATATGTTCTCTCCGATTGGGCAGGTGCAAGTTTGGCCGAAAAAGCCAATTTGATGGAAACCCTTTACAAGAAACACTAGAAGAAAAACGACACGCGGACGACATGTTTATAGCTCATGTCAACCAGCTGTGTTCGCAACTAGAAATGATTCATGGATCACGAAACGACGACAATCACAGTCATCTCCATCGTCGATATCACCACCATCATCACTATCATCAGCAGCAAAACATCATAGTTGAAAGTGATCGCCTTTATTGATGACAACAGCGAGGGAGCGAAACGAATAGAACGCCTGCCAACAAGAATCAACAGGAATCGTGAAGACGGTAGGTGATCTAAGTGTTGAAGGATGAAGCAAGAAAGGATGGGAAAGTTAAAAAGCAGCTGAAAGTGCAAAAGAATGGTTTCGAAACAAAAATATGAAACCAAAAGTATAGCAACTAAAGAAGCTACAGTACCCTAAGTTCGTTCATGTTAGAATATCCCATATGTGATGGCGCCCCTGTTTCGTACCTGACCCAATGCAAAATGCACAATTTTTCCTCGTATACGGATTCTTTCACCTTTTGACAATAAAAAATATTTTTCCAACTAATAGAGAGCATTAAAAATTGTGGATATGACATGATTGTGGAGCAGATTTTGTTCATTCGTTTTATGGGCGTGGGTGATATGTGTGCTACCGTTTACTACATGTTACCATGCTACGATTATACAAATGGATTACTGCCGCCGCTATTTAGAAGCACTTTTATAGCTTATTTGAGTCTATTTCTGCATTTTTACATCCCCATATCTCATGCAGTGACCATAGAGCTTCAAATGAAATAACAGCTAATTGTTAGACAAATTGACAGCCGATGAACTTCTCCGAAAGGGAAATTTTTGCACACCACTAAGTGTAGAGAAAGGTTTTTCTTCTCTCATTCTTCTTATTTTGGTCTGCTGCCGATTAACTAAGAATGAAGGATACAGAGTACAGCAAAAAATTCTGGAACCTCCTGAACTGAAAGTGGACACTATAGTGAGCATATCGTCCATATATGGACAATAGCGAATCAGACCTTCCAGACAGCTAAACCGTTTCTCTATGGCCAGAGAACTAGATATCATTTAAGAAGAAAGTTCCAATCACTAATATTTACTTTCAAACAATAACTTCGTAACATATAAAAAAATGTGGCGAAAAACTGTAAGTATTAGATTAGATGCCTCCTCAAAGACCAGATGATAGATTCGTTGCAAGGACTTGTTAACCTCACTGTCTGAGTTCCGTCGTTCATAAAGAAAGTGCTGAAAAAACCGGAAAAGATAAAAAATGCTCTAGTCGAACTATTTTATTACCGCTCCTGCGATAGGAGACATAGAACAGAGATTTTCAAGGGGAATCCGAAAACTGCAACTCACGAAGACACAAAAAATCCTTCATATGAAGTATCCTCAAAATCTTTTATACAGAAAAAATACTAGTCATGCTATGGAACGCAATAACAAGTGTACCAATCAAAACCTATTACTTATGTACTAATGTAGTAACTGTAGCCATATAATACATATATATATATATATGTATAAAAGAAGGAGAGGATAACACAGTGGTAGTGATGTCTGTCATCACGAGCATGGTGCTAGTTCTATTCCGATCCGGGCCAACCAAACCTCTGGGGTCGGGAAATTGATACCGCACTTGCCTGAGAAAAAACTACTCTGCAATCCAACCGGGAACGCTCCAGCCCAGTTACCTCAGGACTCCAAGGAGGATTGCTCGACCAGTATTCTACATTCAAGATGAAATGAAAATCGTCAAGCAACGACCGAAGCCACACGCAAAGTTGGAAGATTTTCGTGGACAAGGGATGTGAGCAAACGAATCGGATCTCAGAAGTGCTGGGATCCGCACAGTAGGCGTGAAAACGAGTCATATAAAATAAAAAATATATAAAGCTTGCAAACTAGCCGTCAACGATGTGAAGAATCTCAAAATGAAAGATGAATTCGGCTACAGAACGCAGGTGTAGGTGAAGTGTTCAAAAAACTCGAAAAAAGGCGTTAACAATCAGTATTTTCAATTTGGATTGAATATTGACCTCTTTTATCGATTTCCTCACCTATGAGGTATAAATACGATGAGAGTAGAAATGGACGGGATAGTGCAAAATTGGATTACCTGTGGCGTTCTCGTTCTGTAGGGGCGGAGCACGTGGTGGCGGCAGAAACGAGATGCGTGCTTTCACCTCCTTCTTCGGTTTCAATTTATCCGCTTCAATTGACGCCTTGAATAGAACCAGTATCCAAGAAAATACAAAAAAACTACTGTCATACATAAAAACACTCCAAATAATAACTTTTGGAAATCAATACCACGAGAGTTCTCTAACTTTTCAGCCAGTTCTCTCCAGTGGGAACCTGACAGAACAAAGCTAACAAAGCCATAAAGCGTTGAATTCCGTGACAGGAGTTCTCATATTTTTATGAAATCGTAGCATAAGGATAGCAAAGGATAAAGCTCTCGACATTGACCAATCCCTGGAGGATAGTCCATGAATTCGATTTTATAAAGCATCGTTTGGAGGTGATTGAATGCATATTTGGCCTGTACGATGATTCGCGGTGGCCTACAGATGTATCGAGCCAGCGGTGCTATCCTCCCAGACAAGTCTGGTACGAATTTACCGACCCCGCATAGATGGAAGGCTTGGTGGGCCATGGGTGCAGGGATCGATCCCATGTGTGTGTGTTGCAGCGCGCCTTCCGACCATTGCGCCACACGCAGTTGTAGTATACATATTCAAAAACCTCGAAATTTGGCAGGACATCCGAAGATAATAGTTGAAAAATGAAGAAAGTGTACAAATAAGCTCATGTCAGCACATCATTTCATCTTACTCCATAATTAGGCTAACCCAATAGATGAATTCTATCCTTCGAACAACTTTGACCAACTAGAACCCAATGTAAAAAATATATGACAGTCACCTTCATGGAAGTATAGTATAGTTATGTACTCTGTTTCCCATTGAAAACACTAGCATGTATGGATGCCTACTAAAACTAAGGAATATGGAGGATTGTACAACTCCGAAAAACAAACGAGTACTGCTACTAACCAATAAAATAATATAATTTAAATATTTCTACAATTTCTTTTCAGTTGTCTAGATTGTGTGACAAACCTTAATTTGTTCCATCAAAAGCTGATGCTTCGACGGTGTTTTTGGTTTCACAGGAAACTTCGGAGGCGGTGGAGGCTGAATAGAATTTCTTGATTACGGAATGAATGGATTAATGGATTAATTGAACTCAGAGCTGATAAGTACTTATATCTTCGCTCAAATGGTTAAATTTACGGACAATGATGTGTTCGACAAATTAATGCTCAGATAGCCAAATTTCTATATTAAGTAAACAATGTCTCCCATGAAATCACGTTCGAAACTACTTTGTACTGGATTTAGCTCAGCAGAAATTTGTAAAAGATTATGATGATCGATAAATGCGACCCAATACAAATCGCCTGCGGTCGCGTCGCGTCTCGCCGACGGAGTGTCACAACAGCGCTGCAGTGTGGAGGCGTGCATTCAATTCGTCGAATAACATTACTAACTACTCACGAACACCTTTCAATAATCAATCAAGCAACAATATAAAGTAGTATTCTAGTTAATACTGTTTTTGGTAGACAGCGGTTAAATAGGTGAATAGAAAACATTTTAAATGCTCCTATTAATTAAGCTCAAACAGTGATCTAAGTAGAGGACATAAACTAACAAACCCCACCTCTTTTTCCATTCTTCTTGATCGAGTCGATTTCACCTCCTTTTCTACGTTACCGCCTTCCTTATTCTCACCTGACTTCGACCGCTGAAATCACACAAACTTACCACCAGAATATTACACTATTGTTTATAACAATGTCAAGACTTAGCTATGAAGTTAACATTCCACATGAATCGAGGAATTCTCTTCAAAGCAAATGGTTCAGTAACTATGAGCGGTACACTTGAGTGAGGCGGACAAGTTACTTCAAAATAAAAAAGATATACGAAACATTTAGAAATAAATAAATAAATAGAAAGTGCAATAAAAGACCTAAGCGATTTTATACTAATGAATAAAGGAAATCTTGAGAAAGACTCGGTAGCAGAAACCAAAGTGTTAACTAGAACATCTTCCTTGTCCTTCAGATGAACACTTATGACATCAGTGCGATAAAGCAAAACCAAAAAGCTTTTCTGCTAGTCTTCGAGATGAAAACAGTTACGATTGTAGATTTCATAAGTCCATAACTAGCAAATGCAATTATTTTCAAGTGGAAACGTATAACCCGTCCAGAAAATGCAACACATACTTGTACGAAAGGCGTGTGCTTTCCTGCTCTCAAATCCTGTGCTTCAACTACAAAGCCCTTCCGACTGTTTACAGGTTCACTGCGACTGGAAAGTGTTACTGGAGGCCGATTTACGATAAACAGCAGAAAGTTTATAACTCCAGCAGGGTCACCCAAGCTAAGAGAAGCTCTAAAAATTCCCATTTGAACTAGATCAACCTAAGAAGTGGCTATGATACGTAAAGGGATTGAAAAGAAGTTCAATGATGCGTAGTGGAGGTATTCAATGAGTAACATGGTTGCAGGTGATGCACGTGACTAGAAAATTGCTCAAAGCTAGTTTTTCCCACACCTCACCTCACTCGGGCTCTATCGACTTATTGCATCAAAATAATAGATCTGAAGTGCAAATAACCATTGTTTATTGAAAAAGATGTAGAAATAATTAGAGAAAACCTGGTCAAAAGTAAATGGTCTTAAGTAGTTTTTACTGAGATAGTACTTATTGTGTCACGACGACGACGGCAGAACAATGCTTCGCTTTCGAAATGCTTTAATCGGCGTTACATATCGATAACGTATCAATACCACGTATAGTTATGCAAATCTAACCATACGTGTGAATATTAACTATCTTTTGCGCACGCCTAAACTCGTCCACACCAGAGAAAAACCCTCTGATTGATGGGTCGAAAAACAAAAGTTTGCCGAGCGCTACAAAATCCACAATTCTAAGAGAACGCACCGAAATATAGTGAGTTTTAGAGAAAACTCGTCCTAAACGTCTCAGGAAACTCTAAAGGAGGTTCATTTTTAACTGAAATTATTACTACAGTAAGCAATTCAATTCTACGAAATTTAAGTAGTTAAATTCAGAAACATCCTCTTCTTTCCAAGTGAACAGTAGTTTATAAATGATCGCGTGATATTTAAGTTCTTCATCAGAAATGATGATAACGTGGAAGCATATTTGTAGATGAAGAGAAAAGCGACAAAAGCAGGAATAGAGAACAAAGTGTACATTTTAAAACTCCTTTCGCACCTGTTTATTTTCTAAACGATCGATATTTTATGGAATGCTTTCCACAGAAAACAGAAGAAAAGAACGGCTTCTTTCAGGACTTTTAGGACTATCAAGCATCGTTTTTCCATATTCAGAAAGCTTCTTGAGGTGAATCGTTAGCAATGTGATGTCTGGCGTTAGTTCAATTCAAAAATTACTGGAGATTTCTAAAACAGCCAAAGTGTCAACTGCTGACTTCTACTGATTACCTGGTCACGACGTCGTTTTACTGGTAACTTTTCACTTGTTGGCGATTGCCGTTTAGATTTGTTCAATTGTCGACGAGCTGACTGAAATGAAACCACCAAGCCGTCACTGCGCTCGATTTTTTTTTATTCGTGGCACCGTTTTTTTCTATAGGCAGTTCCGAAAAAAAGGAAACGGTAATCAAAGTAGTAAAGTATTGGGTTAAGATTTCTTGAGCACTTCTCTTTTTCGAACCGTTTCGTCGAATAGTCGAACAGTGCATTCGATCAATTTCCTATTCCGCCTCCCAATTCATTCCTTCTTTCTAAATCCAACCTGTATTTTTCTATCAGTTATTTATTATTGTACATATCATTTATTTCAATTTAGTCATATTTAGGCAAGCACAACGCCCTTCCTAAACCTTCAGAGGAAACAACTTTAAAAAAATAAATAATAAAAAATTAATAAAAATAGTGCAATCGTCTTTTCACATAAAATGTAGAAAGACAACAGCACAAAGATACAATTAAAAAATAAAAACATTACATAGTTTGCACAAAGAAATAGCCAAAGATCTGTTTTGACACATAAAACTGTTATATCTTTTTATTTTCTGCTTACTATAATTTCGCGGCAGGGTACTAAGCGAAATACAACCACAACGTTGCTGAGCCATTTGCAAAACTCTGGACCGCAGGTGTTTATGGTGGGGAACGAACGCGCTATTGTCCTTTCCGGGGAGTAACGCGTTCACCACCACACCATGCGGGTCCTTTGTTTCGCCTGTTTCTCAGCTATTTCTGTTTCGCTGGGTCCTTTGTTTCGCCTGTTTCTCAGCTATTTCTGAGATCCCGCATGGTGTGATGGTGAACGCGTTACTCCCCGGAAAGGACAATAGAGCGTTCGTTCCCCACCATAGACACCTGCGGTCCAGAGTTTTGCAAATATCTCAGCAACAAAAAACTGTTTTGAAAAAAACGAATGAGAATGGAAGAACTACATAAAAAAGAAGGACTGTCACTTCCACGCTCCTTGAAGGGTTCGCCGAACTCAGTAACATAGGAAAAACTACTGAAGAACTAAAGAGAAACGCAAAAAAAAACCGAAATTCGTACCTTGAGCTAAAGCTATACAAGTTCGGATTCTACAAAAATATTTATCCAGGCATAAATCTTTCATAGAGGGATTATACGACGCAGAGTAGTTGTCTTTCGACTTACACCCTTAGCCAATAAAACTCACTAACTTCTTCCACTCGTCCGTTTCCGAAATATCCGACTGCTCAACCGGAAACCATCGTCAGATCAAAACATTTAACGTCACCAATGCCATCTGGAGTTAAATTCAGGGTTAGAATTCCTATTCACTAATTACACCTACTTAAATACTTGGTGGATATTGGTTAGAAGATCTCTACAATACAAATGCGGTCTTTGATTCGACTGGGCCGACGCTAAGGCTTTTCATCTTTTCGAACTTGGCGCATTACTATCAGAAGCACTTCGTAGAGTGCAAACACTGAGCTGATCACAAAAACGACTGAATAAGCAAAATATGCATTCAATTATATCTGCGATCTTACGAATGGAGTCAAATGCATAGCACATCCTCCAGGAATAAAACAACACCGAAAGCTTCAACGATTGTCCTTCTATCACATCTATGGGTTTTAACGATTTTTAGAAGAGACGTGGTAAGGTTTGACGATTCAGGTGATCAACCCATAACGGAGGCTCGGAGTTTGGCACAGCTGGTGCAGTGCAATACGAGCAAATTTTCGTCGGCTACGGAATTTCTAGGTTTTTGACAAAAAAAAATAATTCCCAATAACTAGAGGACTTTAGGGGTTGTTCCCACGATGGAATTGTAGAAGAGACTTTGCTCTATCGTTCTATGGATATGAACAGCATGTATGCTACTACTTACTATATGCTACCATGATCGATCAACCAAATACATTACCGTCGGCATTTGGAAATATTCTGCACCCTACATTGAGTCTATTTCGGTGTTTTTTATATCCGCACATTCCATACAATGGTTGTGGTAATTAAAACGAAATAACAGTTAATTATTAGTCAAATTATCGGTCTATGAACTCTTTTGGAAAAGGTCTTTTATATATCACTAGGGATGAAGAATGGCCTTTCTAGTCTCAACCTTTCTATTTTGATCCACGTTCGATTATCTATCTAATGGTTATTTCAATGGACCGAAAATGGTCGCCACAGTGTTTACATCGACCACTAGGGACAACAGTGACTATGGCTGGCGTTACGGAATGGGTGGCCGACAGCTTGACGACGATGTCACTGGTTCGAACATTGTGAACAATTGATTTTTTTAGAAGATGTTCCCTAGTTACGATTTGAATACCGTGGCGCTCCAAAAGATTTTACGAGAGATTTCCATAAGCAGTGTCCCTGAAAGCCTACTGAATATTAAAAATTTGAATGCCTATGATCGTAAAGATATCGATGAAGCTCGTCAGATAGTCAAAACACAGCTCTATATTTGAGTGGATGAAAACAGATTCTCCTTCGTCCTCTTCCTAACCCAGAATCTAAAGCCAAACGATTGATTAGAGATATGTTAATAGCCGTCAAAAGTAATTAATAAAGAATGTTTTAAATCTTACTGCCTATTCCCTTTACATGGAATGGTACCATGTGATACACAAACACAAGGATGCCGAACTATGAGCAAAACTGCTAATGGCACCGTTAGAATAAAAAAACTGGCTAAGAGAAAGGCGAAGAAATGGCCTCGGTTAATATAGAATAATTCGCTGTAAGCACACAGGCGACTATTACTATAGTATTTATCGCTATCAGCTAACTTTTGGGGGATTTCGCCTTCTTATGAACCTTAAAAGGATAAGTTAAGTGCAATCTAGTCAGCTAAATACCTCCATTACTTAGCGGGAAAACGAGAAACCTAGATTTCAGCCGTCTTGGAAACGAAACTGATTCTTCCAGGAATCCGAAAATGAATCGCAAAGAGGACTGCTTCATTTTCACAAGTGATGTCAGACATGATGTCAGACTGATATTTTAACGTGAGAGAACGCAATACATTACCAAATCATCTGGACTGTGTACGGTTGGTGTCCACAAGGAAGACTCAGCGGTAGACTCAAAGAAGACGGTTAATACATAAAAATGCTATTCCTTTTTCCAGAGCAGCCGAAATCTATAGTTATTGTTCCCAGGATCGACTTTCTCTTAACCTCGGCATTGGAATATGAATATGTCGTTTTCTTGTTCAGCAATCGCGAGGTTT